GGGACATCATCTACCAAATCCATCACTATAGCGTTGTCAGAAATAGACTGTTTAACGGTGAGTGGACAGAGAAATGAGTTCCGTGCCAGTTGATTTAAAGCCCTTGTGTTTACTTTGCAGTGAGACTTTTTCAGGTGAAATAACTTTCCAAAGGATTGTTTTATTTTTCATAGAGAAAGGACTGGTATTTTAGAATGAGTTGGCATGCTGCTGACAAATGATGCTCCTTCTCTGCCAAATTATTGGGTTAGATTAAAAAAAGACCATGGAGAAGAACATGGAGTGATGGTTTGCTTTTCGCCTTCTGATTTAATCATTTTGGCAGCTTCAAGAGATTTGTAAAGGGCTCTTTCTTTGTTGATGCTCCTGAGGGATATGTAATGACAGAAACATCGCAGATCTCATCAATGTAGAAGGCTTACAACTTGAATTGACATTTTTATTCTACTTTATTTAACATGCAGCACAAATACAACCCTCCAAGAAGTCATCCCCAGTCCCTGAGCCGGCAAACAAAAGTACAGTGCACTCACAATACAACACAATAGCAAACACCAACAGCATTCAGTCACTGCAGCTGTCAGGGTCTGAGAAGTTCTGAAATCATAATGAGAAATTACCATATACAAGGAGGCTTGCCTCTTTATCTCAACAATGTTTGCTTCAACTTACACCTGTGCGTCCTCATTCTTGCATAAGTATCATTATACTGTAACTAGCAGTTGCGCCTCACTCACTAGCCAACATCTTCATCACGTCTGTGCATCGCACTGACGGCTTAATGAGCCAAACTTTGCTACTTGTGCAGAAAAAAGAAAATGTAATTTTTTTTCTCATTAGATGGCAACTTAGCAAATGTTTTCAGATGCGGCCTAGTTTATGATCAAACTATTCTGTGAGCTTTGTTATGTGGAATGGCCCATCTAGTGCTTATTTTTAATGGAATTTAGCCTACAGGGCTACAACCAATTATTATTCTAATTCTAATTTTCAATTAAGCTGCTGATCTTTTTCGTGATTAATTGATAAATGATTTAGCCTGTAAAATGTTTAATTTAGCCTTCACAACTTCCCAGGACCCAAGCTGGCATTTGACATACTTTAAAGGTCCAGCGTGTGACATTTAGGAGGATCTATAGTCAAAAATGAAATATAATATTAATAGGTATTTTTTAAAGGGTGTATAATGAAAATAAGAATTGTGAGGGTGGGTGTCTTCATGGAGTCCCCCATGTTCTCACAGTAGCCCAGAACAGGCAAACCAGAAACTGGCTTTGGATAAGGCCTTTCGCCACTGTAGCCACTCATGCACACTTCGCAGCCCGTTCCCATTCCTAGGCCGTCAAATACGGACGTGAGCGGTGGTAAGTTAGTTCCAATTTGCAACTTTACCGCTCGATGCCACTTAATCCTACACATTGAACTTAAAGTGGTATAGCTCTTCAGGTTTAACAAGGCGGACTGCATGGTAGACGATGTCTGTAGATATAAAAGGTTCATTCTAAGGTAACAGGAAAATAATCCATATATTCAGGTGATTATACTATATATATACGTACCTATGAATATTATATTCCATCTGTGGCAATAGATCCTCCTAAATGTTACACACTGGACCTTTAATCTGTAGTTTGGAAATACAAATATTCAGAAAATAAGCAAATATTCTCTTTTGAGACACTGAACGATTACTTGATGATGACTTAAACAATTAATCTTTTTTCCAAAATGTAGCAGATTAATTTTCTGTCCGTCGCCTAATTGATTAATGGACCGAGCATTTCAGCAGTTGTAGCCTATTTGTGACATGTAGGCCTACCAGTTTGATGTGATAATTTGTTGTGTCCTCTCAGTGTCTCTCTTGAGTCATCAGTCAGGATTTACACAGCTCCCTTGATCCATTGCCCTCTGCACACCTGCGTGGTTGGCATCCTAAAATGTGGGTTGAACTGAGCTATAATGAAAGCAGGAGGCTGTGGGAGACAATTAGTCGACCCTACATACATGACCTTGCTTCTGACCCCATGGCCCTTATTACTTGAACCACTGCTGTGTGTGGCCCACAGTTTAATCCTTACTGATCAATACCTTTAAGGCATCTTAATATCCCAGAAAAATCCTTTTGGTCTGTTTATTTAAGTGGAGACCAACAGTATAGATTGCTGTAATAGTATGAATTAGTATTGAATGTAATTCAGATTAAATGGATTTGAACCACTGCACAGTTAAGAAGGATGAATGTGCTTCTGGGTCTAAATTGCATTCATCATGCAAACTGTGGAGGGTCGGAACAGCCTCTAAATATCTCACTTTGGATCTTACTAAAACAAATTAGCGGTAGTGTATTAGAGGTTATCGTAAAAAAAAAAAAAGCATTAGGATCAAACGTGTTGACTAAAATATAAATCATAGGCTTTGCATGCTTTTGCCTTCTTGCTGAATATTGGTGGAAATTGGGAAAAATAATTGGCAGTATTTCCTCTTGCAATTTTTTCCCCTGGCCAGAGTGTTTCTTCTAGCATCGATCTATTACTCATGCTGCTTGTTGACGTTGCCAGTTTGCTGTCACACGCATGGTGATATAAGATGGTCTTTTATCCCAGCTGTCTCTGCTCCAACTTTGGATTACAGATCTTGGTGAGACGGGATTGCTGTCATGGTGACCAAGGTCTTGTTATGGTTGGTAGACGAGGTGAAAATAAGTGCATTGTATTATGTGTATTATTCTGCAGTGTATTATTGAATTGTGGCAGCTACTATAAAAATCCATTATAATGCAATCAACAGTAGTAAATCGCATTACTTGTGATAGGCAACTGATGTCAGTCAACGCTACTACTACTTCAGTATCCCATAGCTGCAGAAACTGTTGTGGTTGTGTGTCACTGTTTTTGGGCATATTGGAATCCGGTGTCAAATTTATCTGATAGTTTTAGACTTGTTTCATTTATATTTTATTGATGTGGACTGCGTTTAGGTTGTCTTTAGGTGTAGCTTTAGGTTGTTTCAGGGATATTATATTATGATAGTATGATTCTTATTATCTATATTATTTATTTGTAATGTTAGATCACATTTCTGTTTAGTTAGGATCTTGTGGCATATTTCACCTTGTCAGTTTTATGTTGTTAGCCTATATGTCATTGTTATTGATGCCTATCTTGGCTAGTAAGCAAGATAGTGGTTTAAAACTAAAAGAGGCAAATTGCCAAGTTTTTTTTTTGTCAGTTGGGGTAGTGCAGCAAGCGGTGCAAACACTGGCGCACACGAGAGGTTTATTTATCTGTTTCGCATGGTTTTATAGGGCTTACATAAATGTTATTTTCTCCTGACATAACAATTATTATTATTTTTATTATCATTTCTCTGTCTCTGATTGCCTAACCCTAGCCCTAACCTAACCAATTAAACCAATAACGAACACAAACCAATCAGAAGCAGAGTAGGGCTAGTATATGCTGAATGCCAGTCAGGGAAATAAAAAGGATCTCATATATGGGGACCCTACTCTTCTCCCATTTGCTCGCAGACCAGGGGTCAGACAGTTGAACCCTTGTACAACCTTCAAGACAAGGCTAGCACTTCCACTAATGAGAAAGCATGCTAATCTGCCAGCATGCTAGCTGTTATTACTGTTATATAATAGACCACGCTGGCTGTGGCTTTGATTATGTTTGTTGAGTTGTTACTTAAAATTTTCTGGACACATTTCAGAAGAAAATTACTTCTGAAACTGTTGTCTTTTTATTGCTGTGGCATTGAGAGTTTTTCTCTTAATTATCTGACATTTCTCCAGACAGATGTGAACAGAACAGCTGGAAGTCTTTTTCTGGGCGACGGACTGATACATAAAAGAATCTGAAGGGAAGTTTTGTGGAACATGGAACCTTACAGAAATGACTGATTACACTATATTAAAGGGATATTTTTTGTGGTTTTAAAATTTAGGTTAAATACAGGTTACATTTTTACAAATATTCATTAAGGTTATAAAGTCATATTGGAGGTTGGCTTTAATTAGTTTGGTTCTCTCATAATCACCATGCAGTAAACAAGCTAAAACATGTTAAAACACTGAAGGTATAATTCTCTGTTTAGGTTACATAGTTATTTGATTCATTGTTAATATAAAATATTGATAAAAGCAGCTTTAAGTTAGTTAGGTTGTTTTAAGTTAAATTAAAAATATATAAATAATCTACTAGTGCTAATCTTCTGCTGTTGCTCATAATGAATATTCTAAAAAAAAAACTATATATACAAACCACTTACACTTTTTGTCCTCTTTATTTAAATTTCTCTTTTCTTCAGAAATCAGGTGACAGCTTTCCGATTTGTTCAGTGAAACACAATAGTCAACCTCATTTCATGTAAATGAGATCTTCTGGGTGCCCGCACAGCCCTCGTGACAATACTTGCAATCTCATTCACTTTATCACTCCCCCTTCTATTGATATTGGTGTTCCATATTCAGCGTTTTATTACTTATCACCATGCAGTTATTCATATCAGCCCTTGTGAGCTGATCAAGGAGCAGAGTTTTTCTCTTGCAGGGAGGCTTCTCTACTTTGTTGTTTTATCTTGTGCACACGTATGAAAAGGGCCTGAGGGAAAAAGACAATGCTGTCTGCTTTAACTCATCTCACTGCTAGACACTGAGGCACCGGCAGGGGAGAGAGAATATTTTATCTGACATTGTCACTCTCTGTAGAAACCTCAGGGAAGCTGAGGCTGCTGTGACACACTTGGTGGTCAGCAGCACTGCATATGATTATGACAGCTCTGCTAGGCTCGCTGGAGTCTATGTGTTACGATGAAACAAAGTGTTTATGATAGCAGTGTGGTCTCTATCTATTATCCTGTTTTTAATCAAGTTTTAAGCTGTAAAAATAAGATAATATTAAAAAGAAATTATAGGTTTTGTAGAAATCAACGTGCTTTTGCAAATCATTAATCACAATCTTTGTCTTCCTCAGGTTACTACTATTCATATGGACCTCTTGGAGTACATGGAACAGCATTATATGAAGTATGATAAAACGCATTTACCTCATCCACACTCCAGATGACACAAGTTGCGTTTAAAAGTCCCAGATTGATTTGAATCAGATAGTAAGAGAGTGAAAACATGGGAGCGCCATCGTTTCACTTGATTGCCGTCTTTGTGGCTGTCCACATGATCCACTGCCAGAGAGTTTGCAACAGACAAGCTTCACTTGAATGGCACCTTAAACAACACACAATCCAAATAAACTGGACTCTCGTGGGAAACATCTGTAGCAGCGTTTCTGAGTGTTGGGATTCTCACGGGGGAGAGGAGTCAATTGAGCACCCTTTCAACTTCCCACAGATATGCCCACTTCAGCTGCAACATGGAGACAAACTGTTGATGTCTGCTGATGAAACACTGAAGTCATATGGCATTAGACTCCTCAATGTGTCAAAAGACAGCTTTGAAAGCTGTTCCACAAATAGACAGATGAGAGATCAGTTTCTTTTCCCCCACAATATAGATGAAAGCGAGCAAGTTGAGGCCAAGTGGCTCGTCCCGGGTCACCATTACTTCATCGCTCTGCATGAGGGAGACATGCAGCTGTGTAAGCTGGGGTTAAGGCTCAATGTGTCTGTTAAAGCGCAACTTTGTCAGGCTTCTCCTCTGCTTCGACTGTGCTCAGGGAACGGTATTTGTCAAACAGGCCTCTGGGAAGGTGCATACCACTGTCGATGCCACCACAACTACTCTGGGAGGTTCTGTGAAAAGTCTGATGCTTGTTTGGATAACCCTTGTGAAAACAAAGGAGTCTGTTTGAGCAATGGATCCACAGATCCAAACCACAGAACATATAAATGTCTCTGTCCTCCACATTTTACAGGTAAGGACAAAACCCCACAAATCCCGTTTGTTGAGCTCTCTCTCGAATTAGAACTAGATCAAAAACACCTAAAAATTCACTACACTTTGATTCACATTGATTTTAACTCATGTAATGAAATTGTTTAAAATGTCTGCATGAAAGAGCTTGATCCCCCTAGAGGAACCCATCATGTTTGTATATTTTGTATAATGTTATGGATGCACACAGAATTTTACCCTCAGATTAAGTGGGAGTAATTGAAAGATTATAAAGGTAACTTAAATTTTAATGCAAGTTGCCTTCTCAATTATATATTTATTGGGCACATCAAGTTATTCCGCATGAACCCCAACACTCACATGTAATGCAAACAGAGTTAATATTAAAACTGCTTGCATTCCAAATGACTTCTTTCTTAATCTCTTTACAGCCAACATGTACTCTCTTCAGCAGTATAACATACAGTACTGCTTTAATTTTTATTTGTTCAATTAGAAATTCAAATAAATAGCAGCATCTGTAACTTTGTGTGTGCACAAAAACGTCATGATCCAGGCATAACTTTCTTTTTTTTTTTTTATCTCTGCGTGTTTCTCCGTAGTAATCAACTGAGTAGTAGTAATTGCCATTTGTTTTAGGTGTTAACTGCTCTGACATTGTTGGGAAGGAAAACTGTGCCAGAATTTGTGAAAATGGGGCATGTGTTCCAGCGTTGCCTATCTCCTTCAAATGCATCTGTGACACAGGATTCTCTGGTAAGCAGCTTGTATTCAGCTAGATGTTGGTATAATATAGATGGATCATCTGTCACTACAGTATGACAATAAAAAACACCATCTTTGAATGCCATTGTACAGTTTTGATTCCTGGCAGACGAATCATCAACAGTTTTTCATGATGCTGTTTACCAAAGGCAGTGGGAAAGATTTAGCTGCATCCCAGTTCCAAATGCACAACCATGTCCTTTGCCTCGAAGGGGCAACTATCTTTGGAAAAGGTTAAAGCTGAAAACTACAAAAGCCATATATCTTTTAAAGATCAGCATTTCCTTGTGGGCTTTAAACCTGATCCCACTTGATGTTACATTTGTCATCATAATATATGAAGCGGCCTCTTCAAATCAAATACCTCATGTTACGACCAGTGACATGCGGTTGTAAAAAGCCAGTGCTAAACTGCTGGCTAACTAAGTGTGTCGCAGTTGATAAAACAAAGGTTTACAGCAATCAATTAAACTGGGATTTACTGTATATTGTTTCTGCTGAGCATATTAAATCAGAACTTTGATACTGGTCAACTTCTGTGAGCCTGCTAGAAAAAAAAATGGTGTGGCTAAAACAGTAGTGTTCAACATTAGATTTCTATTCTTTATCAATTCTACTATAAATCAGTGAGTGTTATGCGTATGGTTTTGGTGGTCTGTTCAACTTAAATTGCCCACTTTAGCCAAGTCAGAGCTAAAGTATGCTAATACCTCTCCCCATGAATAATTTATAAAAGGGAATTGGACACAATTGTCACATATTTTTCATTGGCAGCTAAATTGTGTTTCTGTGTGATTTAGACCAGTTACTGGAGGCTCATCTACGAGCATTGGGTGGCACTCATGATCTGGTGGGCTTGTTTATGAGACATTTCCGCTTCACCCATTATTTAGGTAATGAGTCTCATTTGCTCCAGTAATGTACAGTTAGGTTAATGGGTATCACAGACAAATGGGTTACAAGACCTGGATAGTTCTCCGGTTGCCCTGGATATCACTGTCTGCTGTAAAACCAAGCCTGCAATGAACTTTCTGGAGTAAAAACTCCAGGTGGCTCTCCACATTGATTCATTGTTTTGTTTGGAGCACAATTTGTCTTGGCAGCATTCTTGAAGTCTCATAGCTTTGCCTTTCGAGTCCAGCCCATGCTTTCAGCTTATTATTTTGAAGAAGTGGTTTCAAGGTTACTTCCAGCACCGTCTGGCATCCGGTTTTGCAAGAGCAGATTAAGTCTATACAGGACAAAAAGAAAGTACAGAGCAGGGAGTGAAGGGGAGTATTAGATGTTTTAGAACAACTCTGAACTTATTTAACATTTAAAAGAAAAGGAATAGGAACAATATCTCTTTGCTTTGATTTTCATGTATGTAGTGAATGCCGAATGTGTCTTGATCTGAATCCTGGATGTTTATAATCAGAACAAGGACATTTACTATATTCAGCAGAGAAGTTATGTTATGTTGTTGTTGTTTATTTTTTCCTGATTCATTGTTTGAATATTACACCCCCTCCTTTGGATTTCTTCTTCTATGTCAGACACACATTTCTTAATAAAATGCACTTTTATTGACTTTTAGTGATGAAACGGAAAATGCCATTTTCTTGTCAAATGAATCACTGATATAACAAGACATTTGGTAAAACCAAAGAAAACAGCTACCGTTGTCTGATTTTAAATTAAATTTATATTAGTGATGTTACCTTCGCGAACAATCAGATTATTTTCAACGGCTCTTTGGTCCGCTACCATTTACGTGAACAATGAGTAAGTTTTACATGAATTACATTCAAGACAAGGCAACTTTATTTACATAACATAATTCATAGATAGGGTAAAATATAACAAAGGAGTAAATTCAATTACAAAGCATGGGGATATGGTGTCACCTTGTGTAATGTTTACAATGTAAACCATTGACATTAGGTCTGGCAATACGAATAATTTTGTGCTGCTAAACCTAGTCCATGCATGCAAAATTAAATTATATTGGTTGGATGTCTACATTTGAATCTGATCCAAATCTTACCCTATCATTTTGACAAGGTCGTCGGATTCATTTCAGAAGTCGGTGGGCCAAAAAGTGTGTGTGTGTGTCTGTGTGTGTGTGTGTGTGTGTACTCTGGTAATTAGTTTCAAGTAAGACTTAACATTCACATAATTTCTCTGTCTCTCATGTAAAATACTCATACTCATCCTGTGCGCAATAGATGCTAGCCACATTAGCTGCCAAATGTGCTAACACTTCTAAGTTCAACAGGCTAACCTGCAAAATATAAAGCAACATAAAAATGGTAAAAACCTCACACAGACGCACACTGTACCCTTTAGTGTCTGTATGAGATGCACAAGGCTTTCAACTAACTCCAGTGCAACCCATCTGTGTCAAGTGACGTGAAGTAGTATAACGAGTGTGTAAAAGTCTGAGTAAAGAGTAAGATAGGGTGGCAGACGCAGGACTTTCAACCAGGTGATTGGAGTTTGCTTAAAGTGGGAGGGCTAATGGCCCACGACTTCATGCACCCTTACCAAGTGATCAATTTGCCCCTAAAAACAAACTAAAAAAATAATGATGAGCATTTCTTTTGAAAGGCTCCCGGAAGGGAACGGAGCCATAAGATCCGACTTCCTTTAAAGAGCCGTAATTCCCATCACTTATACATATAATTCATATCAGAAACAAATTGGGGAGTTACATGCACCCTCTGCCTTTGTAGCTTTTATCTAATTTACTTTAATTGCTGCTGCTCTCTCAAGTAAGCGGACTCCACTGGGTGCTTTCGCATAGTCATGGTGTCCTGCTGTCGCATCAGCTTCTTGGGAGTTCTGTGGAGCTTGTGCTTCCTCTACCTCCCTGCTGCAGTTGCCTCATTAATCAACTGGAAGTTAGTGGCTGCTCCAGCGCTGGCTGCCCTCATAGGCCAAAGTCTATGCGCACAGAATAATGAGCCAAACTCATGGGACGTTTCAAATGAGATTTTCTTTTGATTTGACTCTCCTCTGCACTGCCCCTAGGGCATTTGTTGCAAGGTATTACCATCTTTATGGGGCCATTTCTATTTGGTATGAGGTGTTAATTGTTTTTGCAATCTTGTTGGTAGTAATATCACATTTTTAAAGTTTAATTTGAACTATGTATACTGTCATTATCCATGTAAAACAATTTAATTAGATACTGACACAGTGTTGTTTCTATATTAGATTGCTGCTGTTAATAATCTCTGAAATGATTAGGGTGTTTGAGATGAACAGATCTGTGGTTGACATAAATGTCAGCACAAATACAAATGATTGTAAAAATAGTAAAAAGTAATATTATACCATGCATGACCTAAAGCAAATTGATCACATTTTAGGAAATTTTCTAGAGAGAGTGCTACAAACATTATCTATGTCATAAATATTTGCGACAGATGGAAGTGTTCCTAAAAATATAGTAGTTTGTATTTGTGCAACTTTTAGTGGACCAGTTATAAAAACTCAATTTCTGGTAGAAAATGAGTTGAGGAAAAGCAAGCCCTGAAGTTGTACATGGTAAGATTGATGCCCACAGAGGAGGCTATGAGGAGCCTCTGGGACATGAGCACTTGTATCAGCAGGGGGATTAAAGAAAATATGCAAAGAAAGAGTCACTGGAAAGATAAATGTGTAGGCACCTTGTGAAGAACACAAAAATGAAAACCCTCACTGGGGAATAACATCAAATTTTATTCACCTTGAACCTCCTGTGAATTCAGTCTAATTTTATCCTTTGCATACAATGTCACTACGGCATTACCCTGTCTCTGGTTAAGCTAGTGGTAGTGAAAGTGTTGTGGACTGCAGTACTTAGAAAACTACAGGCTACAGCTTAGTTCAGAATTATTTTATCTCAGAAAGTGCTATGAACCGGCTGCAGCCCTGACTACTTAGTTTACAGTTCAGTGAAAATCCTCCATGAAAATCATTTATACATCTTTATGACGACTTTGCTTTTATTACCGTATTTGGCACAGAGATGTTGACTTATTTATGTGCACATACAGGATTGAAATATTATACTTTCCAAGTTTGGAACTTTGTTTATGTGAACTGACTCATTATTTCAATCCATATTTTAAATGATCAATATATACCAAACTGTTATAATATTACAGTACAGTATGATACAAAAGTGTAAATGGTTAAAGAAATAATAATAATAACAGTAGCTGAAGCAGCAATCATAATGGCAGCATTATTCGTCTTTTTTCAGTTTGATAAAGTGATTGTTCTGTGCTCTGTGCTGCAAGCAGAAAAATATATACATAATGCATTATAATACAGTATGAATTAATACGAGAATTCCGATTAAAACATTGAGAATACATAGTATTTTGCACCACTTTAGAAATGATACACTATGATGTAATAGGCTCACTATATGCTCATACAGACATGTGCAGAGGTGTTCAGCACACATTCAGTAAGTGTGCTGGAACAACATAAAAAAACACAATAAAACAAAATCTGTTAATAGCTCGAGATATAATAGGCCAGTCATATAGATATAGAGTGATAGTGCAGTTACAGTGCAGTAATAATTTGCTTGTAATCCAATAAAAGTACAATGGAGAAAATGATCAGATTATCAGGAAGTTTTGTTGCATCTCTGCAGCATGATAGCTAGAAGTAGCTTTACTGTGTATGGTTTCTGTCATCTTTCATTTATATTTATACATACTATGTATTATATGCACTTAACTTTCTCGCTCACCCTCCATTATGGTATTGGTTAAAAAGACGGACACCAGAGACGCTGCAAGTATGTTAGCAGTGTTCACAGTACCATCCAGTACCATCAAACAACTGACACTCTTGATTACTTAATTAATACTACATAATACTCGACCGCCCAACCAATGTTGTACAAGCACAAACTTTAATACACGATGAGATAAAGGCAATTCTCCATTGCAAGGACAAAGCAAGAAAAAAAAATCAGAACATTTGCCATATTCTTCACTACAAGTTTTGGTTTTCCTGAAGTAAATTGGGTAAAAATGGATGATGTTACTCTATCAGGCACAACAATACTTTGCAGTACCAAGAACAAAATAATTTATCCTTTTCTGTATCTTAATATAATCATTGTGCTATCCTTGTGCTGGATAACATCTTGGTTGCTTTGATTCTTTTCCAGTTTGTTTTTTATGAAATTAGCATTTAGGTTCTGCTCTACAGTATATCATCAATCAGACATGTTCTGACAGCATAGTACAGTTAGTCTTGCCTTTAGTTTATTTGTGAGAACATTTGCATACACATGCATAGTGGCTCTGCACAGGCCTCCATCCTGTGTAATTATTGATAAAACATGTCAATCACCCCTTCCTCCATGAATTATAAGTCACGTCAGTCATATCTTTTCAAATTGCTGTGAAGCTATTTTTATACTTGTTGCATGTTACTTTCTGTGTTCACCACTTAGGGTTTAATAGTTTAAGTGGAATGTTTATACATCTGCAGGGCAGAGAACATGAGTTAACAGGCTTTTAGACATTATAATTTCTAGATGTAATACAATTCCGAAAATTTGAAAAAAAGTGCAGCAATTCTGCATTGTCTATTTCACAGGCCCACCTTGTGACAAGAGGAAAGCACCGTGTGATCCAAACCCATGCAGAAATGGTGGCGTATGTGAGGAGCGCCACAATGGATTTGTTTGTCATTGCCCAGAGAGATTCGGTGGCCTCTACTGCGACTCCCGACTTGACTTCGATTGCATGTTATATGCATGTCAGGAGGAACAAATTTGCACTGCAGGGGAGCGTGTGAGGACTTAATTTCCCTTATTTGTTTTATCTCAGTGGGACATAAACAAGAAATGGCACATGGAAATTAATATAGTGTCTTGAAACAAGATCAAATGGCTTCATTCTGAAGGCTGCAGCAGCAATTAATATTTCCCCCTGAAGATGAGCTATGGGAAAGAGTGTTTGCTTCCTGCAACATTTTGATTGAATGACCCAGTGCATACTTAAGTGCCAGTTTGAAATGTCTCTCATCAAAACCCTTTTGTAATTGGATGTGTGCTGCAATTTTCACCTTTCACTGAAAATGCTGTTGTAGTCATACATTTTGCAAAGGCAGTAGTGTTTCTAATGTTCTAGAGGATACACAGGAGAAAATACAGTAATGGTCTAATTGTCTTACTCTGACCTTTATTTTGTTCATTACAGTTTGCCAAGTGCACTGCACATTTTCACAGCCCACCAAAGAATACCAGAGTGGAACAGACTAAAAGGGACATTTATCAAAATAATGCCTGATGTTGCTGCAGCTTGACAAAGATAATTTTATAAACGCTTAATGTGAAATTCTAATCTCTTTAACTTTGTATTACAAGACTATTAGCATTTATTAACCTCTCATGGTATCTAAAATGCATATTAAAAACATATATAAAAGCTATTATTTACTTGCCTACTTAGATTTGATTATATATGATTGTAGAGATCAGTAACAAGTAATAAGGCGAGTCAATCAAGGCATAATTTTATCACTACAGTGAATTGCTCTTTTATAGATTATGTTCTTTCAGCTAGCGATCTTTTGTACCCTTGTGAAATCTAACCCTGTTTTTTCCAAGCTGACAGATGACCTGGTTTGTTCTGCCTCTGTATGCAGGCTTCTGAATGTGTCTGTGCAGATGGTAATGTGGTCCCAGCATGCAGGAGGCAGCAAAACCTGTGCAGCCCATCACCATGTCTCAACAATGCCACCTGCGTGTCCAAGGGAAATGATTACGTCTGCAGGTGAAACACATACAGGGATCTAATAGAGGCCACTCTCACAGTTCTCTGTCTAGATGATTGGAATGTCTTGTAAATAATGTCACTGAGAGTGAATAAAAAATGTTTTTAATTCTTTTTCCACCCATTTAATGTGATTAGAGTTTACATTTAACTCATAGGACTAATACATACGTGTTTGGCAGACCTCAAGCCTCCTTGTTTACTGGTGGTATTTATATTTTTCTTTTTGTCAACAAATCTTATGTAAAGACCAAAACCAACAATGAATTGAATCTACTTACAAGTATTGTGTCGAAAGCCTGATGTAGCTTATTCCTCTTCAATGAGGCACAATGTTACACTGAATGGCTTGTAAGGGTTTATTTGCAGAAACAGATTTGTTTGGGTTTTTGTGCGCTCAAAAGAATATCAATCAAATGTGGTGTTGTTTTTTTAATTTAAAGAAAGGCTTTTATCTGTTTTTGCAAATTAACCCTTATGTTAAAAGCAGAAGAAGGAAACGCTGCATGACTCTGATAGCTGATCCGACAGGTCCTCTTTGACAGGTGTAGGTACACAAAAAACAGAAATCCAGGAAATCTTGCTGCAGTGGTGCAGATAACCATAGAAAAAGACTAAGGCACTCCATATTTTACATTGTTGGTTTAGGTCTTTTCATGGATTTTTTTTATATGTAACATTTTCCATGAAAAATATAATGCCACCTTTATCTTTTAAATTAAAAAAAGACTTCAGTAATAGTTTTAAACAAAGCATTTTCACCCATCCTATACTACATTAGCTCCACTCTTAACCAGTCAAACTGAAAGGCAACCAGATTAGCCTTTTAATCTTAGAACAGTTAGCTTCACAAAGCTTCTCTGAGGATGCAGGCTTCTATTAGATCACAGTCTGCCTTTGATCCTCTTTAGATACTTATTATCACACTGAAACCATTTTTAACACAGACTAATTTTTAATTAATAATGGACAAACAGTACTTGCAGATTCTTCCCTGAAACCTGGGAGACAATTTTTTTTTCTCATTATGACAGCTCTTATACTAGAATTTAAATTAAGCCAGAATCAAAAATACAGTATACGGAAATGATAAGGGAAGTTAATTGAGTGAGGGATGTATGCCATATTTGACAGTACAACCAGTGAAAGAAGGAGTGGGATTTTTCATGGTTTATAGAAAAGCATAATCTGTGATTTTATAATGGACCTTAATTTGTTCTGATATGATATGATAACTCCACCCATTTGGCAATCCAGGCCATTAAAGTTGGAAGAATAATTTACACACACTATCTCACCCATGTCTGTCTCACAAACAGGTCACATAGAAAAAATATAATTATAAGCACATGTGTCTTGTAAAAGAAAAAATATGGCTTGTTAGTGCTCAAGGCGCAGGGTGAATTGATTTTGATGACACTGACCTCCCCTTAACAGATGTCTGAGAGGGTTTTCCGGGAAGAATTGTGAAGAAATAATTGACTACTGCAGGCTGCTCAATATCAACTGCCTAAATGAGGGATTGTGCTTGAAGATAATTGGCGGATATCAGGTAAGTAATTCAATGTTTCAGTCTTAATGAAATACTGCTAAGCCCTCAAAATATGACTCATGCTTCACCTTAATTACAATATGAGCAGAAAGGGAGAACACAGCACAGCTATGATACATACAATAAATATTTTGTTTTAGTAGTGACTTAAATAGGGAGTAGTGAGAACATTTTTAGTCGCTAAATATTTTAAAATTTGACTGAAAAATACACTATAGGAGTATTACTTTGATTGTATGCAGTGCAAGAATTAGCCAATTTCTATATGATATGTTGTGTATCACATTGGTATACGACAATCTTTTTAAACAACAGCAACCTTTTTCACTTTCTGCAGTAATTTTCAAAACTGAATAATGTGATTGATTTTAGGGATTCACTGATCCATACAAATCTAAAGCAGCAACAAGGAACTTTCATTTTTTTGTTGATTCTGGCGACCCCAGTGGACAAAAGCATTAGTGTTACCAACGCTTCATTTCATTGAATTCAAGAGGAATCTAACTGAATCTGACCCGGCGGCAGGCATTTAAAAATAAATAGCCAATCTTCTTGCTAATGGTCTTGTGTGCTTATGTAGGTCATATAGAGGCATCAGTATTAAATTTAGACTTTCATAACCAATTAAAAACTCCTTGTAGATTTAAACATCAGAGTGCAAATAGAAAGATATGGTCTATTGAACACATCTGTTTTTTAACATAAATTAGGCTACTGCATGTCACAGCATAAAAGGTCTTTACGTCTGTGGTCTCTGCAAGTTCTATGCATAAGAAAACCTGTCATTAATTGAAATAAAAAACAAAGAGAAAAACAGAAACATCACTGGTAGAAAATGTCTACCGACAGCAGTAATCCAATTCTAACCCATTAATCATCGTGAGTATGTGGACGCACTGCTCAGACAGACAGGTTCTGGTCTAATTTGCCTCTCTATTGCTCAGTCTTCTCAAACGTCTGTATTTTTTTACAACACCTGAGACTGCTCCGTAATGCCCCATAGCTCCTAATTATTCTCTATCAGTCTTGTTCCATTAGACCACTGAGAGTGTTCTTAATCTAAAATTCGCTTTTAGATGCTTCGTGTCAGTAGGGGTCAGACACCTTCAAAAACAAAACTGCAAATGGGCCATTTCTTCTTTTTATGTTTTTATTTTTATTTATCTTTTTGATTTGATTTTCCTTGGAGTATGAAAAGCTATTGGGTAGTTCATTAAAGGTAGCCCTCTCATTCCATTGCTTCTGTCATGAAAATGCTCTTAACAGACAGAATAAAACTAGACTGGAGGTCACATAAAACAGATTTTATCGGCGGATATACAGAGGAGTCCAGTTTTTCTTTGGCTCTCTACTCCAGCACATTGGATTTCTAATGAAAAAATGACTAAGGTTAAAGTGCTCATTGCTCTTAAAAGGGTCAGTTCACCCAAATAAAAACTCCTTGGATACTTACAGTATCCAAAGAGTATCAAGCCATACAGACAGATTTGGATTTATGTCGCCTAGATTTTTGCCACAGTTAAATTTAATTTGTTGTGATATCAGCATTTAGAAATGACATTAAAAGAAAAATCAGTAGCAACTTTTGCTTCCAGAAGCAATGACTGGTCACTTAAGGATAACCCACAGACCTCACTCAACACTTTCCATTAAAACAACTGTCTACAGAAGAAATAGTCCGCAATCTGAATCTAGAGTATTTAAAACAATGGGGACACACTCTTAATAAAAAGATGCTGTTCAATCTATTTAAAGTTATTTTTCATTTTTGTGCATACCACAATCTCCATTCACCTCTATCAAATTGAGATAGTGGGAACAGGGGTAGACCTAGAGAAAAATTCATAGGGTGGGACAGAGACATATACCTATTTCATCACATATATCAATATTTACTTAGAAAAGCCCCAAAATGAAGATATTTTAACTCAATTAAATTAATAAATTGTTTTCTGTCCCAATCAGATATTTCAGATATTTTCCAAATACAAATCCTTTTTCATTTGACATAAGCCTATCACTTAGTCTAAAATGTGGCCATAACATATCGCTTAATTATGTGTTTTAATATCTGTTTTTTAACATGTTGTTAAAATTCTAAAAATCTAAATTACTTTTTATTCATACTTCCAAAGGGTAAAAACAAACATGATTCCTACATTTTAAATTCAGTGCTTCGGTTGCTGTAATACATACTCCTCTCTGTGTGATAGATTTTGTTGTTATGGGTTGATAGGTCCATTCAGTATACTGTATTGTACCCTGATCAAACCAATATTGTACTGTTTTCCTGCAGTGTGTTTGTGCCCCAGGATGGATTGGAGAGTTTTGTCAATATGTAGGTGATGCCTGCCTGATAAAACCAAACAGCTGTTTGAATGGAGCCACATGCATTACAACAAGTCAGCCATCATCCCCCCCACAGTACACCTGCAAATGCCCCCTCGGCTTCACAGGTGAGATAAGTTTGCTTTATTATCTGTTTTTGCCCCTTTCCATCTGTCTGTCTGTTGGCAGGATATCTCAAAATATGGATCGATTTGTACAAACCCTTGTGGGAAGGTTGGTTATGGGGCAAGGAATGACTGATTGATGTTTGCGGAAAATCTGACGTGGAACTGGTATAGCTTGACAGTTACGTGCTGTTGGCACAGGTTTATGTGTTGTTGTTTTTTACATTTATCAACTTTGTTGTTTTGTAAACATCCTGTATGTATGCACAATGTGAAGAAAGACATGCAACACAGGTAGTGAGGGCAGTAATTGTCTGAATATTTTACTCCTTTCAGACAGTGAATCTGCAGTCTCATCCCTGACATTTAACACAGTGAGCTCTCATGCTGAGAGCAATCCGTAAATTATAAATGTTTCTGTTTTGAGATAGTGGTAGATCATAGTGGTGGATTATAGTGGTGGAGGATACTTAGTTATCCCCACCTTAAGCACACCAAAATCCCCAGACCCAACCACCAAAAAATGTCATCAATATGGTCTTGGAAAGGTAAAGCCTCTCCTTCTCACTTTTTATCATATTTGCATGTCAGGTAATCTCTTGCAGCATTATTTGTTAAATAACATAAAAATACTGTGAGTCACACTGTCTCACCAGTTCATTCACTTGTAAAACTAACCATGGATTAGGAATTTCAAACTTCTGGCCTGGTGGCCATTTCCTGCTCTCCATTCTCCTCCTTTTAGCTTGTGACATAATGTCAAAAATACAATATAATTCAGCCTGCAAGATTTAATTTTTTTGTTTTTATTTTTTTCTAGTTGTTTTATGTTAATGAAAACTACTGCTTAATATACAATTAAAATAAAAACACGAATGGCAAGGATCAAAGATGCCCACAAATGCTTGGAAACAGTTGATAAAACGAGAGCAGGTTTTTATATTAAAAATGATATAGTAGAATAGAAGTACTGTATGATGTTAGTAATGGAAATATTCTTAGAATATTACAGTATAATAACATGTTCATTTAATTTCCTATAGCAGTGTTTGCTAAGAGCCACATAGCTGACATGAAGGAAACCTGGACAAATCTGTTCTCTAGTAACACAGCAGTAACCTGTCACACCTGAGAGCCGTTTGTTTGGGGAGAGGGAGTCACATTGGGGTTCATTCGAAGATCTCTAATACTGTCCATTGATTGCACATGGGTCAGCAGGGCAACATAATGAGAGTGGAGGCCACTCTTTAACTGTCAGGTTTACGTTCATGTTTGCAAGTGTCCAACCTGATTAATGTCTCACAGGATTGAATCACAGCCAGCTTACGGGCTGCTCTTTCATAATTGACCTCTGACCTTTGACCACCCTGAGGATGTAGACAAGGAAAAACAGAAACTCCCTTGAGTGATCATTACATATTTTTTATTATTAGTGGTATTAGTAGTTGCTGTTGCTGCTTTACTGCATATGCAACCTCAAGAAGGACTGCACCTGATGCAAAACATTTTTGATTTGTCTAAATCCAAACAGAGAAGCACCAAAATTACATCTACAGCTTTGGACATAACTTAATGTTTTTAAGGGCAAATTTAATTGAAGACTGACCAGAAATCTGTGGTGATTTATAAATCACAAGCCAACCACAGATTTTAAGCAAAGGCTAGTTCTCTTGATGAAGCGATTTTTTTAACCTTGAAGCTTATTTACCAGTAGCCTTGCCTGCTTGACATTTCTAAGGCCTGCTGCTGATTGCATTTAATCCAAGTACTCTGGCAAACTGCTTCCTAATTAGCTGCCAGCTCGGAACATGGCCGAAACTTGTTAAGCTATCAATGACAACTGTTCTAAAAAAAAACAAGGGAACAAGGGAGACACACAAAACAAAAAGGGTTGTTACAGAGTGTGAGATTTAAGGGGGGAAAGTGTAACCTTTTTAATTTACCGTGCTTTTAAAAGATTCACAGAAACAGACAAAAAGCAAGTGTTAAGTGCGTCATTGTTTTCAGACCTTCCTGGCTGGAGACTTAATGTACAGAGAGATTTAGTATTGGCAGGTTAATCTAGAAGAACAGTGTGTAGCCCACATAGAAAAATCAGTACATAATATAAATAAGATCATTTTTGTGCATGATTATGTATCTAGCAGAGGCCCAGCAAGAGAGTCATCAGCATAATACAATATGTAAATAACTCTATATAGATTTTGTTACATTCTCTGTTCTAGACATTGTTTGACAAAAAAAAATCGACAAGAACATAGACTGCGATCCTTGCTAAACATTGTATGTACCCTATAAGGGTTATTATGGTATTGTTCCACTCTTGTTTTATTGCTTAAGCAACCAGTGAATGTGATTTTTTTTCTTCCCCAGTGCACTCAGGTTTCGGCCTATAGCGTATTTCCCAATCTAGCTTTAAGTCCTGACACACTCACCTGTCAGTCAGATAAGCCCTTACATAGCACTACATGAACAAGATTTTTTCCCTCTGTTCAAAGCTGAAATCTGTTGCCACTTCAGTAATGGAAAATTGTCTCTTACACCATGGCAGGTCTTAGTGACTGATAGAATTCATCATTTTTTGGCATCTTGGGACTTTTGCTTTGGAATTTCGAGCCATGCAGCATAGAAAGGCCAATTTAATTTCAAGCTTTGCCCAGAAACCCCACTGTACTCTATCATGGATCATAACTCAGGATACATTACTCAAGCCCCAGCATTCAGTTTTTATTTTTGTTCAATTTATTTTTCACAGAGAAACAACTGTTCGCATATATTTTGCTGGTGTCACTTAATATTCATTTATTTTATTTTTAATTGTGTGGACAACATAAGACATTAAAACTGGACGTTTAGAGTGCACCACAGATCCAGGAGATAGATAGATAAGATAGATAGATAGATAGATAGATAGATAGACTAGATAGATAGGATAGAGTAGAAGTAGATATTGATAAGAGCAGACAGCCAGCAGGACAGACCAGACGCAGAGACAGACAGACAGGCAAGATTAGAGATAGATAGAATAGATAGACTAGATAGATGATAGAGTAGATAGATAGAATGTAGAATAGATAGATAGAATAGATAGACAGACAGATAGATAGATAGACAGATAGATAGACAGATAGACAGATAGACAGATAGACTTTATTGATCCCAAGCTGGGAAATTACAGGAGTGTGTTCAAGAATCTTGGGTCTGAAAAGTCTTTGCATTTGAACCTTTATCTGGAAAAAAATAATCTGCTGGTAGCTAAATAATGATTTGAAATGATGATTTCAAAAATGATGACACATTTTGCTTTGCCAAAATTCAACAAGAACAACCTTCAATTTATATTGAATTTCAACATCTTCAGTACATTTTGTAACCCAAATCACTATATTTCATGTAATTAAAATTTCATTATAAAAAGCTCAAATACAACATTATTGTATATATATTGCATATATTCATGAGCATATGAGCAAATGAACGTAGGCATTTCTTAGATTTTAGTAGGACAAATTTGTATAATTTGCTGCCATACCGCATGGCATATTTTGTATATAATGACCTGTAGCAACTGCCGTGCAGATGATATCAATCATAGTGTTTGTGCTATAGCATGAGGGTGCCGCTGTCAAGAAGGGACTTTCACTACATGTCATTGCTGCTCTTTTATTGATGATAGGACATTTTAAATTAATAACCTGCACTGGAAGACACCCACCCCCTACCACAGTGGCAGAACTAGCAGCCGCTGTGGCAGCTGAGCACCAAACAAATCTCCTATCAAGCAACCAGCATCCCCCACCTCATCTGCTCTCTTCAGTTAGGACAGAGCTTGTTATTAAGTGTCTATTTTCTTAACAAGAAAGTGAGCCTGTCCAACCAGGGGTATATTTTCTCTAACATCTCTGTTTGTGTTTCCAGGGGCTCACCGCCTGAATTCTACAGCATCTTATTAAACGAATGTTTGTGCCCTCAGGAGTTGCAGGACACTCTTAAAGCAACACTTTGGGAAATATGCTTATTTGTTTTCTTTCTCATTTCTTTCCAAATCATATCTGTATTCTAAATATGAAGGTAAAGTCAGCAGCCAATTAGCTTAGCTTACCATAAACACTTGAAGCAGAGGAAAACAGCCTGACTCTGTCCAAATGGGAAAAGAAAATCAGCCTACCAACACCTGCTTGGCAATGTAACAGTGATGACTCTGATTGAACAAACAAGATACATGTCATTTGGTGCTCTTGACAGCTGTTACTGGCTACAACTGTTTGAGCACCTTTTCTCCTGAAACAGTAATTTGGCCACATATATTATTTTACTAAGATGCTGGTTACTGAATAAAGCAACAACAAAAAAATCCTAGGACTTTTGGCAAAGTTGTATTTTAAATATACCATATACAGGTAATGACACATATATCACTCAAAATGAACTCTTTGTGTAGATGGGATTGTGATCAATCGCAACTAATGGTATTTTTTCTCAACTCTATTCTCAGGAGCAAACTGTGAGACCGAGATCAACGAGTGTGACTCCAACCCCTGTCAGCACAATGGCACATGCTCTGACTTGCTAGGACACCATGAATGCCAATGTCCTACAGGTATGTCGGGCTATGGCCAAAGCTAAAGCTTTGTAATAACATTTCAGTGATATCCATATTAGCAGTGGTAGCAGGCAGCACTGCAGACCTTTTAAATGTGTATGCAGTGAATGTGGCTGAAGATCCTCAGCAAGGGCCCCCCTGGCCATCTCAGTGTACAGTGAAAACTAAAGGTGATTAGCCTTTGCCAGCGGGGTCCCCAGACTGTGACACATCCTGTCTGAGGAAGTTAGGCTAGAGAAGTCAGCATGATTTAAATCATCACATGAATCATTTTTTTTTTTTTACTTTAGTGTCCAGTTTACTAAAAATAGCTTCTACACCTTGGTCGTTTTCAAAATTATGTTTTTACTACTTTTTTAACTTATGTGTTTAAATAAAGCACTCAAACACCTTTTTATAATGAAACAAGTTATAAAAAAAGCCATTGTAAAAGGCCTGCTTCTCAGCACCCTACTGATTATAGCATACTCCATTGTTCAGTATAGAGGCAACATGGCACAGCCAGGGTCTTAGTCACATTATTCACAGTATCAGTTTACAGCCTTGGCCTGTGATTGACAGCTGTGAAAAAACACCAAGCTAATTGCCAGAGCTCAATAATGCGACCAAATTGTGTAAATATATTAATAATAGTTTGATAATATTATATCACAAGACTGCCATTAATATAATTTTCCTGTAATTGCTTATTGTGCCTGACGGGCTGAGGCTGAATTTACATTCACTGAACGTAAACTGATGGACCACCCGCAGCAGTGTCATGATGTTGGCAGGGTTAGTGTGTCTGGCAACTGCTCTTGCCCGATTTTACTGGAACATTTTACTGCATGTACAGACCAAAGACACTGTGGGCAGAGCATCTTTATAGCCAGGTGATGTTTTTCTCAAGAATTTTCCACTGTTATTTTTAGCTGTTTTTCTCAGCAAATGTTTTGGGCTCTTTAGGGAAATGTAACATTGTGTTTGTTCACTCTTGTTCAATTAAACACTAAAGGACAATACCAGTGTTAATGACACATGGGTCACAGAGTCCGTTCGCCTCATCAGTTGCTGAAGCAAAGCACATTAGAGTCACTATTTAAGGTGACATTCAGAGGTGGCATTGTATTTTCATCAACTGATGAATTATGTCAGCCTGTGAAGTGACTAAGATGCACCTCACCATAGTTTAAGAGATTTTGAATGATTGCTTATCCTGTTCAGGGTTGTGGGGGAGCTGGAGACTCTTCCAGTGTGCATTGGCGAGACATGGGGCAAACCCTGGACAGGTTGCCAGTCGATCTCAGGGCTAACACACAGACAGAAAAACAAAGTCATACCTACAGGGAATTCAGAGTTTCCGGTTCACTTAACTGGCATGTCTTTGAACTTAAGGAGAAAACTGGAGGAAACCTTTGCAGAGATGCAGAGTCTTTTGAAGGCCAGCAGGTTTGATCTAGGGCTTTCTGAATAACAATTAAACATGCAGTAATAACATATTAACCCTATGTCAAAAATGCTGGTAATAAAAACCATTACAGCCTCTGACTTTAAATCTTTTAAGCTTAATCCTACTTTATTAAAAAATAAGTATTGACTAATTGGTGAAAAGAATCTCACAATGATGATGAATTTCTATTAGCTGCGTTGGTACGCCCCAATAGTGTTCATTCTTTGATTAACAATTTGAAAAGAAAAACAAAAATGTCAGCCAGTCCATGCAAACATTTTGATTTCCCTTATTTTCCAATAAACCAAATCCGATGTGACTGTTCCTTGTGCTTTTTGGGTGAGTGTCTATGTGGAAATCTTGCTGTGATGTTAGAGGAATGAGGGGGTGGGCTGATGGCTATGTCATAGGGGTGATTTGGTGGGAGCCTCCCATCACAGATGTCAAGTTGAATTAGACCCATGACACCCCAGAAGGCTCTACAGTTATCATGTGCCGCCCCCATTACACCTGCTCAGAGTACTGATCAGGACTGTACACATGCACACTGGCCTGTTTGTATATTTAGTAATATATGTTCTACAAATATATATGTGATGTCTGCATGTTGCCTCTTGCTATTAATATCAACAGTAAGCCTAAATTGCACATTGTGGACCAACACGTGTAAGACGATTATACAGTATGGAGTGTTGTTTGACCACTGACTTGACACTGATATTTGCTGTATCTCGTATCTTAAACACGAGATAGATATCCAGTGTTTGCACACAATCTGGTGCCTTTTCTTTTCAGCCAGAGCCGTTGGTTGCTCTTTTCAGCTTCCTCTGAAGCTGCCTTTGCAGCCTGCCCTAATCCCTGATCATGAATCCCTAACTCCCTGAGTAAACTGGTACTAGATGTGGCCACAGATCCATGGTAACGAAATTCCACAGGGCGTACCCTGGCTTTCCAGCCTTGCTACTAAATCTCATCTGTTATCTCAGTAAACCTAAGCCCCTTCCGCTCATATGCCTCATCTGCTGCATCTTCTCATGGTGAAGTGAGTTCTGCAATGTAAGAAAATAGTCTGCTGAGTGCTGGACCACAGTACTAAGCAAAGTCCCGAGACACTGGTGGAATTATAAGTTGCTGGCCTATGACTGCTTTTGTCTTTGGATATATTATATTGTACCTGACTCAGTAATCCATGTTTCTTCAACAAACGGTACCTGTGCAAAGCTTAACTAATGCACCGTTCTCACTCTCCTAAAGCTTACAGAATTAATTGATGTTAGTTCATGGTCCATTCAACTATTGGTTATGCCAAATGTATCATCTCTGCGAACAAATCAGGTATTATTATCAATTATCATAACACCACCTCAATAAGTATTCTTTCAGGGACAAGACAGAGTGTCTGTTGTAATACTAAACAACCCTTTTTTTGTCGTACACAAATCTGATAATGGTTACAAAAAAAGAGATTAGATGAAAAAGCAGGATACAAAAGAAACACAATATGTAGGTTTTTGCATTTAAACTTAAATAGAAAGAATATTTGAGGCTCAAGTTAAATATAACGTCAGGTGCACTGTGGCACATACACTACACCTTAAAATAAGGCCAATCCTCCAGTTTACCCACAGCTGTTTCAATTTTGGCCTTGTTTATTAAATATATAGAAGAGCTGACCTGGTACAGTGACATAAACTGGAGACGGGTTTGTGGCACTGGTTGCAGATCTACTTTCTGCTGGTCTGGTGCAAGTATTGCATCAGTTACATCTACTGTATGAAATCTTTTCTTTCAGGTTTCCTGGGACAGAATTGTGAAGTTGACATAGATGCTTGTGCTCTGCAGAACAACGCATGTCCACCAAAGACTCTATGTTTGGATCTCCCAGATGGCTTTGAATATACCTGTCGTATACCCTGCCCTCAAAATCTTCAAGTGGGTAAAAACATCTTAACACACAATTTGTCCTCATCTGCTGTTCAGTATCCACGTGTTTAGTATTCAGTTCAAGTCCTATACATGTTTGAAGTGCTCCTTAGCTTCTATTTATTTCTCTTGAAATGATCTCTCCTAATTTCTATGCAACAGTGCATTAACATTATCACAACATCATCATCAACGTTTGTGTAGAGGAGGTACCACACTCCTGTTTGATTATTATTGTCATGTAAGAGAACAGAACCACAATCACACTGATATCTAACTGAGCTGATGGTACATTGTGAATTCATTTCTAAATGAGTAGTAATTTGAAACTTTGGCATAAGAATTATGACTCAATACAAATGTAGAAAACATAGTCTGTCCTGACACAAAACACTTACTTACTTAAAGTAGTAATATAAACAGTTCTTTATAGTAACCTACAGATCTTTAAACTGTCACCACATACTAAATTATAACATAACGGACTTAAGTGAGAAGGTATATTAATTCAGTATCTTATTTCTAAAATGTGGGATAATCCTTTGTTATACACGGGGATAAAAATAAGCATAAGTCCCACAGGAAGATTGACAGCAAATGCGATAATCCATAAACACAGCAATCAGCTGGTGCTGAAGCTGTAGAGTATGTTGGTTTACCCGGGAAGAAAGCTGTATTAAATTCTTGACTAATGAGGGAATTTGCTTTCATTCGACTTTTATTGATACATTTTAAACATAAGAGAACCAATAAATGTAGTAAAGTAACAGATTTTTACCTTTGATCTACAAAAAGTTACTGTATGGATGAAGTATGCATTCCCAGTATACTGTATGCTGCATATTTAAAATCATTGAAGCACATTTTTATGTCCTTTTTTTAGTTTGAATGTGGTTGCACATCTTCCAGATTTTTAAGCAGTCATGGTGGGAGAAGACAAAGCTGGAACTGTGTGATTGTTTGTCAGGGCTTTTGCTTCTGGCACGCTCGACAGGAGCATATTTACAGGATTGAAAAGGCCGCCGCCACCTGACGCAGATGAGTGCTACTGAAGATTTGCAATGTCTGTATTTTTGAATGCACAAGTTTCTTTACATGTAGATGAATCGACTCTGCGTTTAAAAAAAGCTGCCAAACCTGAACAGAGGAGCTTCTTCAGATGACAGATGGAGATGATCACTCACTGTGGAGAAAGGCTTGTGTTGGCCCCCTTACAGAAATGCCATGATGTCTGCATTATACACAAGTCGACTCTTCCTCTGCCCCTTTGTTTCCCCTCTACTATATATACACATGTACCAGCTAGCAGGCATATCTGTTTTGGTACAGAGAACACTTGGGAGGTTTGGCCCTCAATGACCATTGATCTTGTCTTGTAAGACATGATGTAGGCGCCACATGGAATACTGAGTGAACCAAGTATAAAGCATGAATCAGTATTCATGAGTGTGTCATGTGGCTGTAATGAAGCTCATTCTCAGGCAGCCAGGAGCAAGAAATGATGAGGGGTTGCATTGTAAAATCATGGTTATATTTTTTGACCAGAATGGGCAAAATCCAAGATATTAGCATACAAGATGAAGTGATTTCATTTTTGTACATGAAGCAGCGAGCCTCTTATTTCATGACTTATCCAGCTAACAGCTCTATCTTCTATCAACAGCCGTGTGCCAATGGAGGACGCTGTGTGCTGAATACTGCTAGTAGCTACACCTGTATCTGTACACCTGGTTGGTCTGGTCAGGACTGCCGTATAAATGTCAATGATTGTGTTCAACATTGGTGTCAAAATGGAGCCACTTGTGTGGATGAGATTGATGGTTACAGGTAAGTGTTCAAATCCTGATTGTCTTCAGGCCATTCAGTCTCCAGAATGTCAATGATTGTAAAAGCCGTGACATTTACTGTTCTCTTCCTTCCGGGTTGATAGAATCCCTCTTACTCTATACAGTATTAAGAAATTCTCTTTAATCTGTTGGTAGCTGCCTTTGTCCCAGAGGATACACAGGCATCTACTGTGAAGAGGACATTGATTACTGTGTCGGCCGTCGCTGCTCTGAACACGGTGTTTGCCTGGACCAGCAGTATAACTTTACCTGCCGCTGCATGCTTGGATTTGAAGGGTCGCTCTGTGAACTGGAAACAAATGAGTGCAACAGCTTCCCCTGTGCAAGCGGTGCCACCTGTGTGGACCTAATCAGTGATTATCGGTGCCACTGTCCCCCAGGGTTTGAGGGTATGAGACCATCTGATACAACTGAGAGCCTATTTACAGCCATTAGTATGTCCAGGCACAGTAATATAATATAATAATATAGGTTTTAGAGCAGGTTTTAGTGTTCAAATGTTAAGATATATGAAATTTGATATGTGTCAGAGCAAATATGCTGGTTGAGTTACATATTATGGATATAGTTATGGAAAATTGACAATACTATACATAGAAGTGATTGAAATTTCTTAATTGTCATAATGCTCTTTGATAGTATTGGGAAGGTGATCTCCTTGTGTAAATCATTATGCATTAGAACAAGTTTTATAGTGACATAAAAATTGTGCCTTTGCCCTGTTTCATTGCAGCAATGAATGTAGTATAAATGCAAAAGCCTGTAACGTGAAGGTATGCATTCATTAATCACTGTTAATAAAAATGCCAGTTTTTATGATATGTTTAAAACACCTGTTAAAATATATAGCACATATTGGTCAGATACTTTTAAGGCTAAAATGATTCAGTTACATGTTACAGTTAATGTAGTTAAAGTCGTGTTTATGTTAAAACTGATTAAAAATTTAAAATTTTACCTTTTATATTATCTGATTATGCCAAAATCAAATATTTAAATTAAGTTATAAGTTAGATAATGTACATTTAAAATAGTTTGTCTATTTTGACACTTGGCATATCATTACTTATATTGGCCATGTGTGATGAAAATGTCTCAGTTGAACAGTGGTGCAGTAATGTGTAAGCAGTTAAATTCATATTGGCTAGCTCAGTATCATAGAATGTGTAGTGCAAAGTGTGTCTTATACAGTATATTTAGGCTGGAGCTACAGCAGCTACCTTAATTATGTGAGTATCTTACAGTACATGATTAACAGAGCACTTGCCAGTGCATGGGGTCATGATGGCAAAAGCACAATTACCTCTGGTGTGGACAGCAGTACAGATAGATGAGCAGTGCCAGCGCTCTCCGGCTCATCTTAGAGATCTTAGGCCAGACCTAGTGGTGCTTTAAATTTGTCAGTAAAATCTTAAATCAATTCCATATCTAAGTCGCCCAGAGGATACTAAAATTGTGGTTATAACATGTACGCATACATACGAGCTGCAACACATAATCATTCAATCACATTTTGAGCCAGTTGAATTCGAGGTAATCAGCTGCCTTGTGAAATAAAATCATGTGTTCAATAAACCAGGTGCTGCTCATTGTTGAGAAAATAAACAGAAATTTGTGCAGCATCTGTTCTGAATGTTGTTGTGGTTAGAATTATTATTCACGTATTAGAGCTTCACAACATCCAATAATTATTAAATGTCCATGGTGACAGCAAAATATATTAGTTGAAACATTTCAAACTGTAGTCCCTGTGACATTAAATAGAGTTCATTTGTTTCTCTTTATCCTGCAGGAAGGACCTGCTCTGAGAATGTAAATGATTGCTTGTTGCAGCCTTGTCTAAATGGAGGCTCGTGTATGGATCTGATAAATGACTACATTTGTCATTGTCCTCTTGGTAAGTACAAACTACTTGTGTATTATTGAGCATGTTTACAAAAATATCATGCTATTCATTTTCTGTATGCCGTACCTTGGGAATATGTGAATTTCTCACGCATTTACATACAAACTTGTGTATTTTGATAATTTTTCAATTTTTGTTCAAGATGTGCTTCTAAAGATAGCAAAGACAGATCAGTTACACTAGTCTTTTGAAAGTCTGTATGCGGACTAGAAACTACAATAAGCGTCTAACAAGGCTCTGCATGAAGAAAATAGAAGCAATAAATCTGTATTATGGATTAGGGTTTAAAAAACAAATGTATATCTTGCTAAGCACTGATGTGTGTAAACATGACTTACCTTATTAGACTGAGATTTTGTTTTCAGCATTGCCCTTTAATTGTGACACCATGTTTTACAAATTTCTATACGTTAAACATTTCAGAACACATGTTCCAGAAAAGGATCCATAATCAGTCCATAATAGAGGGTGGTTTTGCATTCCTCAGTGTGCGGCTGATTTTACTATGCCCTCTGGTAATAAAACACTTAATCACTACTTGATTGCACAAGTCAGAATGTCGCAGCCAGCCCACTTGGCATTACAAGTCCAATGTCACATTCAGTAGTAAACAGCCGCAATCCACAGAACAGGATTTACAGACAAATATTTGAAAAATAAAATCCACAAAGGTGTTGACAGGACACAAAATACACTCTGGCACTGGGAAAATGGGTCTGTTTTGGTAAATTATTTTCTTAACATATTCCACAAAGGCAGAAGAACTGCACTGGTTATGGTGAATATTTTACTTTTGTAGTCTTTTGAAAGTCTACCCTCATACAAATACAGGCTGTTTGAATTTGATGTAGTGAAACAATATTGCCAGTTTTGTTGCATCTTATTTTAGTTCTTTCGTGCCTTTTCCTCAGCCAAATATGCCTCTATTTTACTGCACAATAAATCAACACAAATGCGGGTGAAGTCATTAAAACATTTACTGCCTTGAAACATGTACAGCACCTGTTACATGGTCTGTTTTATGACATTATGGGATGCAGCAAATGCATCACTGTAAATAATGTGCTCTTATTGTTTTTCTGCCTTTTGCTCAAATTAGATTTGGACAACAACAGAACACCAATGTGTCAGTAAGCTCCCATTACTGTTTAGATTTCATTGACAGATTTATAGACAGGTGTTTTTGATCACTTTATCTTTTCAGAAATTCAATTAGATAAATGGTCTGTCAGGTTTACTTGTTTCTCCCAACAAAAAACAAACAATCAGAAAAGAGCATCACTATTTTCTAACCTTGTATACAGACCATTATTCCTACCACTGTAGCCTTTTTTAATCATTATTATGACTGGAAACATACTAGAAGGTTCTTCAGCCAAGGTTGCACAACACATTTAGAGGATTCGACACGCATTATTCGCTCTTAAATAAATCACAGTAAAGGCATTCCAGTGTGTTGCGGTTAATTCAGATTTTTTTTTTTGGTTCTGCGACCTACCAGCACCTGACTGTTGTTGGCAGTGCATGGGGAGTTTTGTTTACGAGTTACAGTCCTCTAAATGTGTTGTTTTTAGTACAAATTATTATGAATCTGCATCAGAACACACATGATTGGCAATCATGCTAATTAGTTGATGGCAGCCATGGTTGTTTGGAGAATGCTTAAATCCTGTCACGACTAGTTAGTACCATTTGAATTTATAATGTTGCTGTTGTGCCACTTTCCGTGACCAGACTTTTTAGCGTGACGTACAGTGTGCATGTCATCTAAATTTTGTTACAATTGCAGAGGACATTAAGGAAGTATGACATCTTATTCAAGCCTACCGGTACAGTAAGTTCAGAACCAATACCAGGAAAATGGTTGCAAAATCTGCTAATGTGCAAATGGACATGAACTAAACTGATTCATTATTTATCCATTGTGTTTCACAAATAGGCACAAGGTCGCATTATTAGATTTTGAGCAGAACTGAAAACTAATCACTTTACACCATATTTAATTGAATTCTGTATTGTATTTACCATGCTAACTTACACGCAGACCAACACAGAAGGCCAGGAACATAACCTCTTTGGTAGAGATCCAGTTTTCGTAATTGTACATAACCGATTCATATTAATATGAATTTGGTGATTTCTATCCGAGAACATGATTTTCAGTTTTTCAGCTCAGTGAAGCAACCAGAACGTTGATGAGAGATGATTAAATATGCTGATGAACAGCAGTTCTCCAAGCCAAGGAATAGTTATGACCCGTTGCTGTTATCATTAACCACTAAACATGAGTACATGAGGACTTGAAACAGTACATCATAGCATGTCTTGTTACTGCTGTACCTTTTGAGATAAAGTGAACAGTTTCACTTTCTGCCTTTCTTTCTGCAGCAAATTTGGGCTGAGCCACTAGTAGCTGTCAGATAGAATAGGGAGTCCCATTTGGAGATGGTGATACTGTAAATGTGACATTCCTTCATGCAACATTAACCTCAGAGTGAATTGCATGCACAATTGGTTATTAAACACTTCTGAAACACTCTGTTGGAGGCAATAGCTGTCCATTAACTAGTCAAGGCAATACATAATATGATGAGAAAAGGGTAGTTGGAAGGTCATCAAACATCTAGATAGATGTGTTGATGTAAAAGTACGCTGCTCTGGGTACAGGTTACAATGTGAAGAAAGTGTAGACAGCTTACGACAGGAACTACATAATCTAGTGTGTCTGCTGTCCTGTGTGTATACTCAAGTCTTGGTAAAAGGGATTTGCATTAGGAAATAATGTTTAAAATATGTCACTTCTTTGCCAGTGAGTGAGACCTACTTTGCAGACAGCTGCACACAGATTAATGTGACAGAGATGCGGGAACATTCTTCCTGTGTAGAGGCTTCTGGTGTAAAGAGGTTTTTGGTTGCCGTGAATATGAATTTTAGAACATTCGACTGCTAAAAACTCATAAAAACATATTCTGTGACTTCATCTCCTGGCATTTGTGGACTTAACAATTTAATGCATTTTTTTTTACCTACATTAATTAATAGGCACGTGTTGAGCAGTGTGATGTCAGTGAAAAAACAGTGATCTATTTTAGGATTCTCCCTTGAAGTCATCTTTATTTGTACAGACACATGTAATGAGTATCGGTCCCACCATCTGTCTGTGCTTTATTTACAACAATAGATATTGACATGGGTATCTATCAGTGACATGCAGACGTGCATTTGGTGGGGCAGATAAATGTGATATAGATCAGTTTGGTGGGGTGGGTCTCTGTCAATGATTCACTCAATTAGCATACTGCATAGCAGGTAGATTGCAAGGAAAAGAATCAATACCCCCATTAATCCACAAAAGAAAAGGTGTCTTAAAGCTAATAAAACATACAGCCACATAAATATGTGTCCAGTAAAGTATGTTGCTGTTTTATAAATTCACTCCTTGTTGCTTATTTCCATAGCTTTGGCTGTTTATGTTCCGTCTTCATGTGTTAACTCAGTTTTCATTGCAGGGTTCAAGGGGAAGGATTGCTCTGTGGACATTGACCTTTGCTCATTTGGAATGTGCAGTGAACATACATTAATATGCGCTGAGACCAAGGATGGGCAGAATGTCTCTTGCACATGTAAAAGAGGTAAGCAAGACCTTTAACAGGTGTTATTCGTGTCATGCAGGTGTTTTAACAGGTGGAAAATGAGCCCAAGGGCGACACCAACCTTTCCTCATGCTTACTGACTTACACATAGTTCACTGTACTAAAAGGAGTATGTCGCTGTGTAAATACTGCAACTTTCGGGAGGGTTACTTTAAAAATGTAATCTGATACAATTACTAATTACCTGTTAAAAAATGTAGTCAGTAAAAGATAACTTTCCTTTACTTTTGGGTTACCTCAATAAAAGGTTGCAAAGGAAGTCAAAAGAAAAGGTTTAATAGAAATATAACTTTAATATTTTATGTATTCAATAAAACAGGACAATGTAGCCTTAGAAAACAAAATGGAAACCAAGATTTTTAGCATCCAATATGTAACCGTCTGCTCAGTGTATTTTTAAGAAAAACTTTTTGCTTTTCAAATTCAAGCAGTAGCCTAACATTTTCACAGCTGGCAGGCAGAACTGTTGTTCCCCTTTTCTGCTTTAAAGACAAAATGGTGGTGAAATTTCCACCTAGTAAAAGCATTTTTTACTAGAGGCCATTACAATGAATTTGTATTTTGTTTTTATATAAATTAGAATTCTGTTAATAATCCCCGTTTTTACTAAATGCAAGTTACCTTTCTTTTTGTATCCTGATTATGTAACTCTATTACATGTAATTGGTTACTCCCTAAGCCTGGCTGTGAATACATCAAAAAGTATATACATTTTTTTGGTTTTATTTATTATAAAATGTTATTTTTATTTTTGTCTTTTTCATGTGCTGTAGTTTCAAAACTAGTGCATCATGTTTTTATATCTTCATAACCATCTGATATACCTATGCTTATGCTGATTTATGCAGATTAATTTGACAATTCCTAAAGCAAACATAATTTTGTTTGTGTGCCAGTCAAGTCCCCCTGATTCCCCTCCATTCGGATGACATTGTTATCACAGCACCAGCAGTGACATGATAACACAAGAGTAAGTGGAAGAAGCTCGACCTCTTAGATACTCCGAGGCTTGCCAGGGGTAACCAAGCTTTAAAGTCTTTCAAGTAAAGGCTATATGTGCTGTGTGTACATGTATAGGAAGTCAGGCAGCTTAATCCTGGACACAGTTATGGTATTTTAAATAAAAACATTTTCCCTGCCAAACCAATCATAATTCAGTCGACACTACTCCACAACATCTCTGCTAGCTCTTCTCAAATGAATGGCTATTACATAGAAGTTCATGTAACCCAATCAATAACCGTAACTCCATTGCACTTATGCTTGGCAGATGTCAAAGTGAAGGATCGTGAGTGATTTCTTATGTAAATTAAAGCAACCTGCAGCGAACGGCTCTCTCCAGATCACTTCTCAAGGGCAAACTGCGAGATGTTGTCATGTCTAGATGTTTCAGGTCGGCAGTCTTGGCTTCCTTATCGTCTAATGTTTGCCAACTTAATGTGTTTAACATGTTTCTTATACCCTTACTATACTGCATATCCCACGCTGCCAACTTTTTGACCTAATATTTAGTACCCACATTAAATCATATACTTGAACTGAGAGCGTTGGATGGTGCATTTTGCATGTATGATTTTGCTTGTTGTTTAGGAAAAACAGTATTGGCTTGTTATGAAGGTTGTTGAGGAAACTCTTCTTAGATTTTTAAGTGATTAAACTGTCTTGAAGAGCAGATTTTGCAGGCCAATAATTGTGTTTTTGTAACCAAAAAACTGTTTTTGACAGCAGCATCTTTTTGTTTTACATTTAAAGGAGCAACTTTGCAGTGCAAGACTTATTTTTGCCATAAAATTATTTGAGTTCCAAAAGCTGTTGTTTTATCAAAAGCCCTACTTGGCATGAGACCGTTTCTGTCATACAGCAGGTTTTCGCAATGCAGCAGTTGTTTTTGTTTGGTTGTTGTTCTTGTTTTTGGTTAATGCTACAGTATTATTTTGGAGGAAAACTGCTTATTCTGACTTTTCTTTTTATACTCATTTTTCCACGTTTGTAACTGTGAAGAGCCTCTCAGGATGTATCCCTTATGCTCTGTTTAGTCCTGGCTGACTGTGTGAAACATTCACATTGTACACAATGATACAACAAATGCTCTTAGTTAAATAAGTGTGAGGTTAACCCACAAGCAGCCTGCGTAGCACCAGCAATAATGTGCCTTAAACACTGACATGTTTCATCTCTTTAATGGCCTGTGTGGGTGTACGGTGTGAGAGCTTTTACACATGTGCACTGATGCATGTTATTTGTTTCATGTGGTTCCCTTTGTGTATAGATTGACTTTGATCTTAAAAATCACTGGATTTGGCTCGTTTAATGTAATAAATCAGAAGGGCAATGACTGGCTCTTATTAAACATGATTAAATGATCCAGTGAGCTGAGTCTGCATGTGCCCAGCAAGCTCTTTGAATCAATACAAGCTTTGAAAACCAGCTTTTGTTTGTGAAAACAAAGTAATGCTGATCCTAATTGGCGGAGGAATGAAACCAGGCAAAAGGATTCCAATAACAGTGTTTTTTTTTATATATATGCTGCAGGGTTTGGAGGGTCATTCTGTGAAGTAAATCTCAATGAGTGCGAGTCAAAGCCATGCCAAAACGGTGGTATTTGTGTGGACGGCATTGACCTGTATGAGTGCTTCTGCTCAGAGGGTAAGTTGCAATGCAATTAGATCCTTCAATAGATTCAAGATGATACGATTATGTGGCTAATTCAGAACTTTGTTGGTTTTTAAGTGTACAGCCAACCCGTTTCAGCCCTGAAGTTATGAACCTGGTGTAAATGAAAAAGCCATTCAGAAACGCTTTAACGCAAATTCTTTCTTGATTCTGTTGTTTGGTGGTCTTTTTCGTATTTCTGTGGATAAATGGACAAAGGGAGAAAAGACAATAAGTTATTTCCACTGCAGCCACAGCTCAAATCAACAAGATTGATATTCAACAACCATATAAGGAAAAACCCATCTTATAGAAGTATTCAGAAATGAAATGATTGCAACCAGAACAGTGCTATTTCACCAACAAACCTCAGAGTGACTAGAAATATCAATCCCAGATAAGCTGAATAACCTGTACCAATTTCCTTTTGTTGATGGGACCAATATTTACAGTAAAAATTATGGTAAACCACTTTGTCCCAATCATGACAACAGTTGGACTACAGTTCAAATGAGTTAAATAGGTAAAGAATGTTGTCAAGTTATGAGTTTTTTCATAAGCATGAGCAATTTCATCTTTTGGAATCAAAAAGGAATATCTTGCCTTTCAGATCTTTATGATAATGTTTCCATTCCATTTCAATAGTTACAATATAAATTACATCTTCCTTAAACAACTTTATCAGCTGAAGAGCTCATTAATGCACAAAATGGATTTGAAAAATAATTCCCCAGTCTTCTCTTCCCTGCTAAAACATCTCCTCAGTATATATGAAAAATAAAAAAATTGCACATTCAACATTATTAAATAAATAAATTTAAAAAAATAAATTAAAAATTGCACATTACATTCAATACAGACTATTCCTTATCTCACACAGTTTGATGCAATGTTTCCTGAAAAAAACATAGATAACTACATTCATCCAATCGGGGTATGTATAAGGATTCAACAATTTTTGCACAACTGGTAGAGATTCTTGGTACTTATCTTCATAATCGTCCAACACCATGTCCTCCTTACTATGACGACAAAAAGTGTATCTTAATGTCTGTGCAACTGTGTGCTATGGAGGGTTGAAATTGAACAGAGTTTGGTCCTGATTTGGTGATTTTGCTGATTAGTGCACCTTGAGCCAAATAACAGCAACTAATCAGTGAACTAGTAGCGTTTGATCAGAATGAAAACCTGTATGTTCTCAACAAAAGGTGTTTTTTAGCATGTAATGTTGATTGCTACCTTTATTTCTGATCATTTTCAGTAATATATTTTCTAATGTTTCCTGGCTTGCAGCTCAATTGCCGTTAGGTTAACAAATATTTGCTTTAAATTTCTCACATCACATAAAATCATTCCATCAGAAATTGTCACTTGGATCATTAAAGTAAGAAGGAATAAATCTCAGCTATTTTTCCAATAATTTCTTGGTCCAGTTGACATCTTACCTGTGAGACATACCTCTGATTAAACCTTGATTGCGGGTGAAGACTGTTATGCATTTTTAATGAAGTCAGGATAATTGTCAAATTTTATGACATGGAGAGAGGTGGAAATTGGTTCCATGGTCAGTTTGAGAAATGATGAGAATTTGACCTGCACCGATGATGCTGATAGCCAAGCATTAGTCATGGGCCTCCTGTAGCTGCAGTGTGTGACAGTGCTAATGATAGTCATTTTGTAGCGTGACCATGCGGTAGAATATATTTATGGGGGACTAAAATGTCAGAAATTGGCAGCACTCACTTTTACTTCATGACTTTAACCTTTTATTTTTTTCAAAATATCAAATGTGCTGATATAACTCGCCGTGCAAAAAATGTTAATCAAGTAGACACATGGTATGACAAAATCTAATTTATTTTTTATCAAATGTAGACTGTGGTGCGTTCTCCTCTCCATACTATGTGCTCGTTTACTTGTGACAAGCTTGCAGTGAAAAGTCATGTAAAATTTCACGACAGCAATAAATTGCTTTTGGGTGCAATTTGATACTAATTAGTATCTTTTCAAGTCTGGTGTTTACTGACATTCACACGCCATCTCTTATGAGATTTTTCTTTCTCTCTTTATCCCAGGGTTTGGGGGTTTGAACTGTGAAATCAACTATGATGAATGTGTCCATGGATACTGCGCCAATAATTCCACATGTATTGACCTGATTGCAGACTATGAGTGCATCTGTCCTCCGGGCTTTGCTGGTGAGTTATCTGTGTCATAATTTTCATAGTTTAGGCTTTAATGAATATAGCGCAGATTGATACCTCTTTAGCAGTGATAACCATCAAAGTGGTCCCATTGTTTAATGCAAGAGCTCATTCACCAATTTTAGATGGACTGTAGGTGATTAAGTAGAAAATGTGTTTTTTCTCCTGTAGAAACTGAATATAGGACAACATTTTTACCCAAAGATAATATATATATTTTTTAAATATCTAAGAATGCTGGTGCTGTATATATTTTAATAAACCCAACACAAGAGCACATGTACTCTACATTACTAATTCATGTTAATTGTGTCTCCAATTTTATATTCATTGTATCCATCACTCCCATATGTTTTTTTGCACAGTAGTAACAAGGGAGTTCCATTCACATTTTTGTACTGTGGTGCTATAGGGAGGCAGAAAAGTAAAATCAATTATGTGTGCCTTTGGCTGTGGGGAGAAACTGTGAATAGACACTGAAAGTACAAAGGTACGGTAGTTATCCTGTTGTATCATCCTACTGTTTCCATTACCGAACACATGCATACCTCACATCACGCTGGTTCATCACGCTGATGGTTGTCACTCTCTGCGGTCCGATTCATTTGTGTGAGATGTGTCATTATGTTGGTTATGTGATTTTTTTTTTCTCTCTCTTTGCTTGTCTTCATCTTTATGTCGCTTAATTTACTATCTTTATTTACCTTTCAGGTAAGAATTGCTCCACATCTGTCTCTGAATGTGCATCAGATGTTGAGTTCTGCAAAAATGGAGGAATCTGCTCCCGCAACTTAGCTGGGGAGATACACTGTATTTGCCCTCCAGGTATTAAACAAGCACATTTTTATATGGTAAACTTCTGAATGAATTTGTTAAGCTCTATCTTTGTTTTGAACCATGAATCAAGCATGACGTTTGTTCTTTAGTCACTACAACAGTAATTTAATTTAGACAAGTAGACATGCACTAGTGTACTTAATAATAATACTAAGCTATATAATCATTATAACCACAGTGTATCATGTGCTCTTCTTGGTTTATTCTACATCAATTCCTCTTTTAAATTCAGCATATTAGTGTTGTTGATTAGAGTGGTATCACCAAAACAACTTTTTACCACTTAAGTGAATACCATTAGAAAGCATACGTACAAATCCATAAATGAGAAAAAGCCACACACCACAGTTTTTTTTCTGTAGGTTGTGTACTTTTGCTGAAACTCCTCCTTGGTCTTAGTGCTTTAGGCTCCAGCTGGATCAAATATGTAAATCAGCAGGGAGGAAAAACACTGGCAATGACGGCACTACGTGAAATCCCAATCCATGATGTGTGCCAGACGTGGGAAGGCAGGATACTGTACACAGAAAAGCACATCAATCACTTCTTTGATCCCACCTCTTACAGGATACCACGGCAATGACTGCTCCTCATCTGTGAACCAATGTGTGTCAAATCCTTGCGACCCTAAGGGGAATCTCCTCTGTGAAGAGCTGGAAAATACTTATAGATGTGTGTGTCAACATGGGTACACGGGGCCGCTCTGCAAAACACCTATAAACCACTGTGTTGATGGCTTGTGTCGACATGGTTCAGTGTGTGTGGATCTATCAAGAGGGTTCAAGTGTGATTGTTTACCAGGTAGGTTGACCATCCAGCAGGGGCTTGTTTCAAATGGAGGCAGTTCCTCGACTGAATCGTGTACGTAGCAGACAGACTCCCAGTTTGATGATTTCACTTGTTCAGCTTCCTTCTATGTGGGAGTCTAATCTCTTTGGCCTTAAGCAACAACACGTAACAGCCTTATGAAATATGTAAGTCAGGGCTCAGTTCATCAGGTTGTGAGCTGACTTCAAAGCAGTGATGGTACTTGAAATGCCTGTTTGGCCACTTAGGATCCAAAAGCCTTCCGTTGGTATTTTACCAAAGGAAACGTTTACAATGAAAGAAACTACTGTCATTAGATAACTTATATGGCAGAGGGGAGAACCCAATATTATTATTTTATTTTATCAGTTAAAACAGTAGATTAACTTTAGTTACCTGAACTACATTTCATTGCTGTAATTCACAGATAATTACTAAAACAGTAACTGCCTCCAGGCATTTACATAGTAGTATACCAATAGGTAATTATCTTCCTTAATATACCTTTGTAATTTTGGTGTATTATAATTTGATCATTTTTTACAACATTATTTAATAGTATAAATTGTTGAAAACTACCATTTTGTGCACATACTTACCAAAGTTAATAATAACCCACCAAGTTCTTTCTCAGTTTATGTGAAGTGGACAGCGTGTATGGCATGGCCAATATGAAGTGGGATTAAGAGTGTCGTCATTACTGGAAAGGGAAAAGAAATAGTTCACTTCAAAAGAACAGAGACCAATTATTAAAAACCTCCAAATGAACTAACCATGTATTAGTGTGAACATTACAAACAGAAGGACAGACATTTCATCACTTGTTGCAATTAAAGTAAATTTCAGTAGCAGGTTTGTAATGCATTTTGATGTCAAGCTTAATGGTACACAGGGGTTTCTTGTAAACAAAGTTATGCTTGCATTCAATATTTCTCACAAAAAGGCATTGTTTGTCCCGTTGAAACCTAGCAAACTGTAACACCTGTTCAAGCTGGAAAGGAACATGAATAGATTGGACCCAAACGCAAGACAGATTAAGCAGAGCTGTGCAGTGGTACAATCATTTTAGTAGTACAAGACTAACAAAAAGGTGAGGCAGGCAAGGGTCAAAACCAGATAAACAGTCCAAAAAAATTAAACAAACCCAAAGGGGCCAGGCATGAAATGAGAATAAGACATAAGAATGTCCAAAGCACACATTAGGAAACACTGAAACGCTTAAAATCAAGACAAAGATAAACTGACAATAACTAAACTAAATCCAAAATTGTGACACAAACACATAAATTATAAAAAACAATCTTTTTAATATTTTAAAACCTGCATTGCTTACATCCATGTTTGCTAGCTAACGGTCTTCTTCTTCCTGGTCTTTGTGTATAGATTGTTCCGTTACTTCACATATTAACGCTACCAACCTGTGAAACAGTGAGAAAGTGTCAGCAGAAACGTGTATTATGTCGCCTGCATGCTCATGAATGCCTGTGTTTGCACAGGCATTCATGTGCAGGAAATAAAAACAAAATGGTGACCAATTCACAAAAGCATTGCTCCATATACAAGGTCAAAAACTCCAACAGGGGGCATTTAATTACTTAAGTCATTACTTCAATTACTGTACATTTTAGTATTCAGTTGGTATCACATCTGAACACTTAACTAATTGTTCAAAAGTTTTCAGCCTGAATACTTACAAGGTTCCTTTTATTGTTTTAAGGAAGAATTAACATTTTAGTCCTTAATAATACAGTAATTATACATTTTGTTGTTTACCTATGCACTAGAAGGTAAGAAACTCAAATAGTTGTTATTTTGTTCTTTAATAATAATAAGGACGAACCATATGATCGTTACTAGAGAACTTTACTAGGTGGTGTTATAAATCATCCTACAGGCAACTTCAAAGGATTGTCCCGGGAAACCGAGAAACCCCATAACAACATCATCTTATCCTCTGTGCAGGTTTAACAGGCGAGTTTTGTGAGATAAACATTGATGATTGTGAAGAAAAGCCGTGCGGAGTCCTGAGTATTTGTAAAGATGCTCTCAGTGGCTACAGTTGCTTCTGTGCACCTGGATTTATTGGTAAGTGAAAGCTATGTTAAAGTTGTTCTTTGTGAGATAAAATGGAATTTTATTCACAGAAGCAATGTGTCAACACGTTCTACTGCTTTCATACTTTGAAGGAAATAACTGCGAGATTGAAGTGAATGAATGTCTCAGTCAGCCTTGTCAAAATGGAGGCTCCTGCATTGATGAGCTCAACTCATTCAGCTGCCAGTGTCCTCTTGGAATCACAGGTATTTTGCACTCTATTTTAAACATTTTATACACTTAGCATCACACTGCTGACACTTTAATCAGAACTTCAAATTCAGCCAAATTTGACATTTAACTGTAGACATGTGGATGCCTTAACTCTCAAGTGATCAGCATGGATCTGAATGACCAACTGGAGTTAAATAATACTCTTAAAGAGACAATATGTCCATGTAATCCATGTAATTTGGCCTCAAAGCAACAATAAATGTTTTATACATTTTTAATATTGCAGTATATCTTTACAAAGAGATATAAATCAATAATGCCAACACAATTTAATGTAACATGTATGGGTGCACTTTCAGTATCTTTTATTCTATTTGTGTTCTCCTGAGTGTTAACTTGTTCTATCACAGCTTGGCTGAACATACTTGTCAGCCAACTGCCTTGTGATGTATCTTTTATGGTCTGCTTGGCCAAGTATGGATCACTTTGCTATTTCCATGCCAATCTAATGCTGTACATAAAGTCTGGTATAACGTCACTTACCATGACAAACAAAATATCTCGTTAATGATAATGTGTAAACAGTATTGCTTAATCAAAGCAAACCCCATATATTTAGTTACATTTTTCAAAATGTACCTAGTCATATATTCAGATTGTGATTCAGATTTCAGGAAATTATATTAAAATACATATAGCTGTTTATACTTGGGGCTGGATCTGAGGAGTTTAAGTTCCCCTTACTTAATGTTGTATCACTTTTATAGCTCTGTATTGTAGGAACTGAAAGGTATACTACATTCTGGCTGTCAATCTTCAAGTTTTAGGATTTACGGCAACAAACAATTTTTGATTACATTCCATTCAACCTTGATCCTTCTCAATAATGGAAACCTTTTATAGACGTACAGCTACAGAGGAGCCTCAGAAATCCCATCAGGACAATATTTTTTATGTGAAGATTGAAATGGCTGTCTCTGCTCCTAGTGTGTGGCAGGTGATGTGCTTAATCGTAGTATCTTCAATTAAATTGTTTTGCATCTACTACAATTACTATGGTTACGTACTACAAAGTTTTCATAACCAGGTCTTTTACTGGTTATGAAACGGTCTTAATTTAATACTGATGCCTCTATATGACCTACATAAACAGACAAGACCATTATCAAGAAGATTGACTATTTCTATGTTTTTATTCTTAATGCATGCCACTGGATCGGATTCCGCTTGAACTCATTGAAACGAGGCAGTAGAAACACTACTGCTTGGTAATTTAGAGATTTGTTTTTCGATACGCTATACACAAAGTTAAAAATAAAAATGGAAAAACTTTATCCTCCAGGGACCGTTAATACCTGTACATTTCATAGCCAGATGTCGGCACTAGAGGAAACTCAAGGAGCAGTAATCATTTTTAAGCCATGAAAGGCCTATTTTCATAAATTTCGTAAGAATGTCAATATTAACACCAGCATTGATGTTTTTCATCACAGTACAGTCATATAAATCAGTTAACAGCTCCAAAGCATTTTTGTGAAAAACCTCTTTAAAGTGTTTCTTTTTAAGTGTCAGCTGTTAAGAATCTGAGAATAGACAGAGACAAATAATGATGTTTATACATACAGTAAGTGAGCAAACCTGCTGCAATACGTTTGCTGAAGCTGCACATCTGTCAGTAATAAGTGGAGTCATAAAATCATGCATGTCCCCAGAGTCTTTCAGAGAAATCGAAATGTTTTTGGCTACATTTAGAAACAGTATTGACAACATTTCTTAGGGAACCTCATTGTGTCAACACTTAACTCGTGCTAACCTCCAGGCCACATCCAAGCCACATGGCAATTAGGTTATAAAACAAGCTCTATCCTTTATAGTGTTACAAGAGCAGCACAAACAGTATACTGTATTACATGACATGTTGCTGTAATTCAAAGACCTGTTCTCGCTTTGGCATTTCACACTATATAACAGCCTCCTCCAAAGCTTGCAGAGACTGTAAATGTGTAAAATAGTGATGAAAAAAGAAAAAAAAATCTTGCAGCCTTGTTTGTGTGCAGCTGATCTGCTTTATACGTTCAGAGAAAACAAATTAGGAAGGAAACATCTATATTCTGTATTACTTGAACTATTCTTTGTGTCATACTATATAGAAATAAATATATATATATATATATATATTTAAAGAATGGTGACAATCTATTTATGTTGTTTTTTAGTGGAACAGTACATTTCAATATCTAAAGCTCCTATTTGTTGAATATTTAAGACTGAATATCAATGTCAAATTAATTTTGCTAGCAACACTGTAAACATTTGTTTATTCCATGTGTTGAAAAATGTCCACATGAAATATCTTGCTGAGTTAATTTTTGTGACAACTGTCTTAATATACTAACAACCAAGGGATTCAAGATGTCACCAGTTTGAAATTCTACATGAAGAGGCTTTGAGTCAAATGGAACATGTATTTCACTCAGTTGATGGGAAGTGGAAAACTGAGCATGAGTCATAAAATGTTCCAAATCAAAGTTTCAGTATGGACATTTGTGACCACTGCTGACTCCTTTAAATGTCATGTCTTTACAGGAAACTACTGTGAAGTCAACATAGATGAGTGCATATCCTCACCCTGCCTGCACAATGCCACGTGTGTTGACCTTGTTCATGGCTATGGATGTGTCTGTATGCCTGGCTTCACAGGTTGGTGAATGCACTTCATATATTCTATATTTTAGCATGCTAACATTTACAAATTAGTGAGAGTAGTAGTAGCCCAATGTCAGATAAGGACCACACTGTAGTATCACATCACTTACTGAATGCAATTGACCATGTGTCAATTGTTTTATGTGACAAGGGTACAGATACATACATTTGAAAATTGTTTGCTTTACATGTTTGTTTTGTATGTCACCAGTTAAAACAACACATTCAGACATTCACATCTTTATTCATAAATTATGCACTGCCATTCAAACAGGTACGTTTTCAAATCAAAGTCAGCTGCCATGAGCAGCTGCTCTTAACAGTGTAGAGACAGCAGAACACTGTAGCATGATGTATCATTTATCATTTAATAATTTCCCTACATGTGGTGCTGTGATGCCAACTATTAAAAGTACAAAGATGAATAATGACTCTAGATTTAAACAAACGTCCACCTGGAAAGCTCAAACACACAGTAACAGTTTCCTAATAATCCCCACAGAGCAGGATTCACAGTGCATTATAAGTAATATAACTAGTTTCATTGCTGAATCTTTTTTTTTCATCCCTGTGAATAATGTACTGAAGAAAACTTTTTTTGATTGTTCAGAAATTATATCTGAAATGGAGGTCTTGCTGTGAGGATATTCTTTGCTGTTTCATACCATGCTGCAGCACCATAGGGAACCCTCTCAGGTGTTTTAGCTGTATTCAGCACTACAGTGCATGATCCTTAGCCTTTCCGTCATCTGTGTGTATGGTATTATGATCACAATCACCAAATGAATTAATTTACAAAAACTTTATCCAATTATTTCCGGTTCATGTCATTTATTAATACACTCAATACATTCATGTTTATACCTAGATGAGAGGTTTTGGTTGTTCTAAAGTGATGTTAACAAGCCTGTAGTATGGAAAATTTGTACAAGTTCCACTTTATTTAACTTCCAGCAATGTGTTTTGTGATTTAAACCTTGACTGTTTCAGAACTGCCAAGCATTTATGTCAGTGACCCTTCGATGTAACATATTTATCAATCTGTGTTCTTTCCTGTCAGGTACAAAGTGTGAACTTGACATTGACGAGTGTGCTTCATCTCCCTGCAAGAATGGAGCCACTTGCATTGACCAGCCTGGTAATTACTTCTGCCAATGTGTGGCTCCATTTAAAGGTAATGAGCATTGAGGGAATGTGGACAAAAAGCAAAGTTAATTAACTTCACATGCTATTATTTTCACCTGTCTAAACTCACTTCACACGTCTCAACAAAATTAGTACGTCTTCATTCTCTACCTGTGATTAAATAAAGAAAACTTGAGTAATTAGTGAGATGTACGCCATGGTGGGTGGTTCTGCCACACAAGTGACAGCTTCCATCATTTAGTCAGAGGAGCCACTGTAGCATCACTGTGCAGCATTATCATTGCATATCAGTGGAAAAAGCATGCTGATGGGTGACTTCAGGTATTGGATTATTTTACAGACAGTGAGAGAGATTCAGACCTACTCTGTGAGAGGAGGAGATGATGAAAAGCTAAGATCAGATTTAATGAATGATCACTGTTTGCAGCCAAAACATAGATCTAGTTTTCATAATGACATTTTATAACAGCGATTGCTAGTTAATCCAAGTTGAAATCTTCTATTTTTTATTATTTTATTCTTGTCTCACCACAAATTATTGATGTATTTCATTTATTGTGTTTGTACACAGTACTACAGTGTGCATTATTCAATCATCTGTAGATTATATTTTAGGATAACAAATCAACAAAACATTTAATATATTGTGTAAATATTTGGAAAATAAATGTGCAAGTTCTGTTGTCTATATTTCATACATTTAATCAGTTATTGTTCACACAGTGGTAAAAATGAGTTGTAGGATTTAGCTGGTACTACACTGCCTGTTGAAACAAATAATTAAACACAAAAAATCATAAATTACCAGATTTTTTTATGATGAGTTGTTGTCACAGCTTGTTTATGTCATATATTGGTAAGGATTGCAATTTTCTGAATATGATTTGAGATCTTTCTGGAAGGACAACAGTCAGGGCAGCACTTCACAAATCTAGGCTTTACAGCAGAGTGGCCAGGAGGAAATGACTCCTGAAAAAGGCACATGGAATTTACAAAAAGGCACTTCAAAGATACGCTGTCAGCGTAAGGAGAAAGATTCAGAGCTCTGATGAAAATGAAAATGGAAGTCTTCAGTTGTAATTCAAAGGACTATAGAAAGTGCGACAGAAATGGGGCACAGTTGATTACCCATGTAACACCATTCCTGCAGGCATCGTAGTGGCCATGTTATGATGTGGTGGCTTTCCATAGTCAAAGGTAAAGGGAACGGTAAATAAAACAAATAACATTCAAGTATATTCTGAGAGAGAATCTGCCAATGACCTTTATCCATACCACAGTGTGTAATTAAAATGCACAATAGTAACCATGTTTATGCCATATAGTAGGAAAGTAACTTAGAATCACTTCAAAATAATCACTTTTGAGTCCAATCTGCACAAATCACTTTGTAGCTGAAGATCTCAACTGCTGTGTTAATGCGACATCTTACAAAAGCAAAAACCTTGTACCAGATTGTTGTTAGACCCAATCACCACCTCATTCATCTCCCTCATTAGAGATCACACATCTGAGAAGCAAAGTGTGTCTTAAGCAAATAAAAATTCCACTTTCCTTCTTTCACCAAGTCTGTATACACACAAAATGGTAGGTAGCCACACAACACAAGTGTGATAATACTAAAATAAGGGAAATGTTGCACCCCAGTCCTTGAGTTTGTGAGGGCTGCAGGAACTCAAAGACACTGAAAGCTGCAAACAGTTGTTGGATGGGTTGTTGATTCTCAATGAGACTTGCAGGTCTGGGAACCCTTTGACACAGGGCATAATTTGATTCAAAAATATAATAAAATAAATAAAAAATATTGCTTAATGGAGTTTTAATATCACACCTTTCTTATACAGCGGAAGGTAACTATTGCCTGGTTATGAAGTAGTTCTAATCAATAAAAGAGTGCTCTGCATCCTGTATGACTGGCAAGCTGTAATATAATGTCTAATATTCATAATATTAATGTGTCAAATATAAGTATCATCAGAACTGAATTTTATGAACTTGTTGGGTTTATGGTGCTAGTGCCTGCTGGCTCATATAAAAGCTATAATGTGCCTTTTTATATAATTTGACTTAAATTATTATTAAAGTGTTTCCTCTACGAATAAGCAACTGATTTCACCAGGATTTTTTACTGATAATTATTGCAGCATTTTCTTTAAGATTGTCGTACTGATTTTTTTCTCAATATTTTTCTTTCTTTGTGTGACTGTTTTACAGAAATTATCAGAGGTAGGACACATAACCATGGTGTTATGTCTAGTTTTGCATGTTTTGCAACCTTCTTTTTAAAATTCATTCATTTAACGTGCATCGCCTGTTCTGTTTGATGTTCTGCATTTGCTTTGTGAAGGTCGTTTATGTATGCATGCTCTGTAATTCTTTCGCTTTGTTCATATTTCTTAACTCTCTTATTTGTGCCTGAGAAGAATGATTTCCTTCAACAAATGCTTGCTTTATGCCTGCCCTGGATATGTTGATATAATGACACTTTAATTTGCCTGTACAGTTCTAGCAATTTGATAAGAAAAACAGTGACATAAAATCTTAGTAGTGTCAATGATAACTTTCAGTCAGCACAGTAGTAATCAAATTGAGTTCTGCACAGCCACGGGTGTGCTTTTACTGGTTATTTCAAATCAGCATGGAACATGACGGCCAATTACAGCTGAGGACGGAGACAATTATTCATTTAGTAATTATTTTGTCACGACCACAATTAAATCGGCCATTGAAGGAAATAAAAATGCAATTTTTAGTTTTAACTGTTTTTAAATGCATTTAAAACAGCATTGAGAGTGTTTGATTGACTTATATATCTGCAAGAATAATCTGAGATTGCAAATATTGTTGTTATTTGTTTTTATCACTTTGGTAATTGACACTATGCTTTAAAGAGGAAACTGCTACATAGGGGAAGAGGCAAGATTAGCATTAATTATTACTAAATATGACAGTAAGAAAGTGACCTTGGATCAGTTTCTACTACAACACTTTTAAGACTTACTGTGTGTAATTCTGTTGGTCTGTCTGGCTTGACACAGCATGTGATCTACCACAAGGATGGGTTCAAGGAAACATACAATATGGGTTTAATATTCCCAGGTTTACATTCCCATTGTATTTCTCCACAGCTTGCTGTCTGCTGCATGGTGCTCCAACATGTCTTTCTTTGCCTCACTCCAGGTCATAATTGTGAGTTCTTACCCTGTGAGGCCAGTAATCCGTGCGAGAATGGCGCAGTGTGTGTGGAGGAGTTGGATCAGGACCATTTCCCTTTGGGTTTCCGCTGTCACTGTCACCAGGGCTTCGCTGGCCCCCGCTGTGAAATCAATGTGGATGAGTGCAGCTCCAGCCCCTGTTTTCACGGCTTCTGCTATGATGGTAAGAAACAGCCTATCTCGCCAACATGCTTAATAACAGGCACTGGAGATGGAAGCAAACCTCCATACACACACAGACACACAGGCACGCAGTGGCTATGTCAAATTTGGTTTTGCTCACTTACAGTCTGACAGACAGTTTTCAATTGGGTCAGCATTGCAGCTAATAAGGGTGTTATGAGAGTGGAGTTATTCCATCTGATGTGAGGATCTAGGACATTACCTGCTGGACTAGGCTTGATTAGTTACTAACATAACTGGAAAAGGAAATCAATTAAGCATCAGTGTTGTGTTGTAATTTGAATAATGGATGATAAATGACAAAATTAATACAATCAAAACTCGAACAGATTATTGTTTTTCTTCCCGTTGCTATATATCTCGCTTAAGTGGTAATAAGAATAGTTTAATAATAATAACGGTATTATTAATAGTCTAAAAGTGGATGATTATTTATCAACAGTTGGTCAGTGATTACGATGTAATTTGGTTAATTTATTTTTACTGCGAAGGACAAAAATAAAAAATTGCAGAAATGTATGTAAAATATTTTTTTATTTATTTATTATATAACTATTGTGCACTAGTTGTGGCCCGAGTCAAATCAGATTCCCCTCAGTAGCAAAATCTTTGTGCAGGAGTATTACCTCCCAGCCTCCATGGCATCTCAACAAAATCCTGCCAATGTTGTTTCAACTGGCTTATGCTGGAACAAAACAGTGATGGCAGTGGATCACTATCTAAGAGTATCCTATCCCTCACTGCACTACAGTAGACCTTGGCCAGCTGTCTTGACTAATCTTGAGCGCAGCCGGTTCACTTTAGGTTAGTGAGGCAGGCCTCTAGGACCTATTGGCTGGCGCTCAGCAGCAGCCAGCCAGCCGCCAGGGAGAGCACTGCATAGCCACAGTGGCTGCGATGAGTAATGCTGCTGCCACCCAGGACCTAAAGCATTTAATGAGAGTAATAGCAGCTACACGCACCAAGACAGAGTGACAGCATAGATTACGTGGTAAATCTTTGGGATAATGAAGAATCCTGGGACCCTGACTGGGGAAGTAATAAATTCACTCCTGTAAGAAGTGCAATTACCTCTGTCACTGGCTGCCTGTACACCAGTGTTGTGTTGGAGAAACAGAATGATGCATCCCACTTTAACATCATTAATAATTAAAGAGAGAAAGGAATGGATTATTAGACGTGGGAGATTCTAACTTCTGATGGAAGAAATTGGCACATTTGTAACATCTGAATAAAGGATGGCCCTGAAATGGGCTGTGTCCCTCTGTTGCACCTTTTCCCCCTCATTCGATGTGCTGCAAGTGCATTGAGAGCGTGAAAACAAATGACCGGGCTTTCAGGCTTTCATTGGGAACGAGTGGGATAAGTACAGATGGGGGACGAGGAAAGTACTAGGAGAAAAGAGGACAGAATGGCCATTGCAGACAGGTTCATTTGAAGATGGTTAGAGTGTCAAATCCTGTCAGACTGATGCAGAGGGAGGTAACCTGTCACATAGATTTAGCGACAACAGGTTGGAGTGATACAGCACAAGGCGTTTATTTTAATGGTCATATCCATTAAAAAAATGAAATTGCAGTGTGGGATTGCGCTTTGTGCTCATAATCGGCACTTACCTGTGTAGATATGTAGTACATTAATGGGACCTACTGTGAGTAGAGTGAATTAATTTATGATACAAGGCGATGTAACTGTCCTACTGATTTTGTTTCAGTTGTAGACGGCTTTTACTGCCTTTGCAATCCTGGTTATGCTGGGCTGAGATGTGAGCAAGACATTGATGACTGTGTGAACAGTTTGTGCAGTACCAACTCAATATGTAAGGACCTCCATCTGGTAAGTAGACGCATTTTTTTTGGCAGTATAATGCGCTAATATAATGGATTTTAAAAGGCTTTAAAATGGCCAATGTCCTGCAAATCACTATAGCTGGTAACTCATTTAAAACACCACAGTTCATCATAAAATATTGACAGGACCTGAATCACATAAGGAATTGCCTATTACTGTTGATAACTGTCATGCAGTTAATGTTTGAAAGCATTTCAATTTCAATAAAATAAGTTTTAAGTTTTAGGTGTCTTGCTGAAACGAGGAACAGGAAATGTCTAATGATGTTTAATACATGCACCTCATAATTGGATATCCTAATAGAGAAATCATACCAATTATGCTATTTATGCCTCGTGAGCTACGCTTTTAATGTGCCAAAATGACCAAAAGGTTACCAAAGTATACTTAGAAAAAACAGTCTACAATGAATTTATTAAATATGAACTGCATATTGAAGTGTCCATCTTTTTTCTTTTGCAAAACAATGCATATTGTGTCTTTTGGATCAGTAGACATTAATCTTTAAGATTAACATATAGATCATAAAACAATGCACTATAGTCAGTACTTCCTTTTTTTGGATTTTTGCTTTATCATTTTGTATAGTCTGTACAGCTCATTAGCCACAGCCTAAATAATCGTAGCTTAGCAAATGTAGCAGTTCGGAACTGAACTACAGTGGTAGGATATTTAGGATAAACAATGTCTTGTAGATGCAGTTGATTTTTTCGTAAATGCAAACTAAGTTTGTGAAATTTAAGCTGTAAATTGCACATCACAGATCAATTTATTTTGTAAATGACTTCTCAGTAAATTTTATTCCTAGTGCGCTTCTCCTCCTGTACTGATAGTTGTTTCTACAGATGCACACACTTGGATTTAAAGGAACATTTTAAGACTTCATTTTTGCAAGACGCAGCTCTACTTCTGTAGTTATTCAAGTGTTTTTTAAGCCAATAACATTGATCTGTTGCAGCTGCAGAAAGGCCCTGGGAGCTGAATGCTGCTTACAAACTGTGCAATGAGTACCAGGGGCCTTTTTCCAACAGCTGCTTATTTGCTAACAGATTGCAGTAGTGAAGCAGATGTGCCATAGATAAAGTCTTTGGGTTTGTTTGGTTTTTTTCATTCGACAAAGACGGATAACTTCTGGTGTACAGTCCTCACCTAATGTTTAAAATAAGTCTATGCTCTCGAAAATGAGTGCATAATGTATGTAAGAAATATGAGATCTATTTAACAAAAAAAGCATGTTTCGGCTGTGAGACGATGGAGTCCCAGAGGAACCAGAGGAGAAAAAGTATTTCGTATTTATTGTGGAGGTACACAACATTTTTTTTTCTGTGTCACAAACACAAATGAATGAATAAAGTTTAAATACAAAAATAAAATTAACTTTGAGATTTTCATAACTAAGTTAAGTTGGGGTTTCAACTTGTGGCAGTGATCTTCCTTCATAGAAAATGCTCAGTAATGGTCTATAATATATCCAAAAATAGTCAAAAATAATTGAAGCCAGATTACGTATTGCTAAGCCACACTTTTATGTATCTAAATCAACATGCTGTATTCTCACATTTTAATGTGTAAAAAAATAACACAAAAAAAAATAAAATAAAATAAAAATTAACTCCTCTTTGTATTCATAGGCACTACCAGAAGCAAACTAGTATATTTGTTTGTGGTTATCGAGACACGTTGGTTTCAAGAAAGTGCTGCTGTACCAATTTGAGGATAACTGAAGGACAAATGCCCTTTTTTTCCTCTCTGTATTAAGAAATAATCTACAAGGAATTCTATTATAAGGTTTCAAAATTGTCCCAGCACAGAATCCTGGCTAAAACATTTCAGTGTAATTTTCTGGGAGAAACTAAATACTTCAAATACAAAGACAAAAGGACACTGTTTATGAAGGGAATTGGGTGTGATACGAGGGATATAATGAAATTCCAACCAATATTTTTCTAGTAACACTGTTCTTCGTTCCACCATTATGTATTTTTTTTCGCAACTCATTATTCAAATAGGGACAGTTTTTGGAAACCCCTTCACAGTCTTGTTTACAGTACAGCTATTCCTCTCTCTGAACACTGTGTCCCACAGAGCTTTAGCTTATTTTGGAGAATTGCAGTCCCTGAAGGTGACTTAGCAGCAAAAATGAGATTATGTTCTATTGCCAGGGGTAAGGAATTGGAGTCTCCTGGAGGTATCTAATTTATCATGAGATGACGGCATTTTCCCCCCACCACCATAGGGCCCACATTGTACAAATTATATCAGACAAAGTTTAACGGCTCCCCTCCAGTGTATGAAATACAGATTAGCATGCATTCAACCAGCAGCACCCAGGACCTTTAGACAGGATGTTGGCAATGAGGAATCTTGAAAAACCCTTGACCAGATGACTACCTTTCATCCTGTATGCAAAGAGGAATTTAAATTAAACCGGTACCTTGGAAAGTAATAGACAACAAACCATTCATCTCCCATGCCATGATTAATTATCATATTGCAGATTGCAATGATGAAATAAAGGACAAGTGGTCCGCATACTGCTCTGAACGGAGAAGAAAAAAAATTGAATTAGATTAGCAAGCGTAGGAGCTATATATAAATCTGTTTCTTAATGTACAGTAGAAACAACATATTCATTGGTTATAGAGATAAATTCTGACAAATCTAAATCAAGCATATTTTACATGTTTGCTTGTCTGTGAAAATTCCTTTCCACAGAAAATATTCAGCGGTAATATTGTATGCTTGATATAGGCTTGTACCATATACCTTGAATGGCATGGAAAAAACAGGCTTGCATATTATCCAGAGGGTGGGTGGTAGAAGGAATACATCTGCATAGCAGTAATGTGAAAATTTAAGACAAGGATGACTCTTCCACAGTTTAAGCAGATTTCCACAGGAAAGATCTTTTAGTGAGTGGGAGGTTTTATCCTGCAATATTTTTTGAGAAAATCAAGATGAATTTAATCAAGTATATTAAGAAATGCACTGTTTGTTTACTAAAATGAAACAGGTATAAATAAGGAAGAATACCCTCTGACAGCTCCATAACAGCTTAATTAACAGCTCTCATATGAATATACAGTACTTTTTAGTTATATTGTAATGCCATTATAAATACTACACTCTAACTAAATTACTATTACTACTATATTTTAATGTTAATCTAGTTCCTTTATTTTTGTATTGCAGAGTTATGAGTGTGTGTGTCACTCTGGCTGGGAGGGGGAGTTCTGCCAACAAGAAATTGATGAATGTTTATCGCAGCCCTGCAAAAACAACGCCACCTGCACAGACCTTCTCAACAGCTACAAGTAGGTGTGCGAGCTGGCTCGAGGGCACTGTCCTCACAAGGTGCATCAGTCACTTAATAAATGCAGGAAAAGAAGCCGTTCAGAGATAGCAATATGTTCTTCCACTGGCAGTGGAGATAATGAATTGCAGATGGCAGGTAAAACAAATGAGTCAATCAATGGCTCACAGCATGAAAAGGTTTCAGGGGATCTGTGACTCATTGGAGGAAAAAGCTGGTGTATCTGCTTCAGCTAATGCCCCCCTTCTCGCTGGGGAGATGTAAAACTGCTTCAGGTGGAAAAGTTGGAGGATGAAAAGGAATGCAAGGTGGAGTGGTTGGTAGTGCTCGGGTACTCACTGCCACCAAGTGGAATATTCACCTGCCTTAAGAGCAGGTACTTTAGACTCACACACACTCCTCTCTGTTTCTCTGTAGCCATCTCTCTCTCTGTCTAGCATGCATACATTTCCATTTAATCCCCACTCAGTGCTCTAACCTCCTGTGTCCTACATTCAGCTGTCCAGAATGAAAAGCTGCTCTGACCAGTAGTTCAATTAACCTGTAAATTCCCTGTGCGGTCTTACACAAAGATTTAGTAGCGCAGTGCCAATACATGTACTGTCACTCTGTGTACTTGTTTGCAAAAAAAGAAGTGTCCTGTGGATCATTTGAATAAAAAGCATATGCCATCTGGTAGTTTATTTGTAACACCTCCCAGTAGCACTATATAAATTTTAGTCCCAAAGAGAATGACACCCTTAACCCTTAGAAATTTTCTAAATACCTGCTTTTAGGATTCATTTATTTATGCCAAAATGACTGTGCCATATCTCCTCTCTGGTGTGTCCAAGGTGTTTGTGCTCATCAGGCTGGACAGGTGTGGATTGTGCAGAGGATGTGAACGAGTGTGATTCTGGGCCCTGTTTAAATGGAGCTCAGTGTCAGGAGTCAGACGTACCTGGGGAGTTCTCCTGCACCTGTCCCCCCTTCTTCAGTGGCCCCTTGTGCAACCAGCCTTATGACCCCTGTGATCCCCTCCACAATCCCTGCCTGAACAACTCCACCTGCCTGACACGCTCCAATGGAACAGCCTCCTGCAGATGCCCAGCTGGTGAGTGAACACATTGCCACAACCTCATACTAATACTGCAGGGTTTTTTTTCTTTTAGCCCACTTTTCCTGTGTAACTACACCGTTTTGTTCAATAGGTTACTGTACGTAGACTATCTGCACATAAAAAAAAACAAATTTAAAAATCACAAGTTAAAAAAAGGTTCTAGCAACAACCATTAAAAACATTCCTGTCACTGTTAAGTATGCATTGTTTGTATCTTCTTTCAGAAATATGTGAGGCTTGCCAAAAAATTACCATATGAACAAAGACAAAAAATGTTGTATTTCTTGTGCGTTCATCATATGTTTAACTGTATTATATTAAGTTTTATCTAATATGGGAATAACAAATGTTCTTTCTACATGATTTAAAGTGATAAAATGCATTTTTTCCAACAATGATTGATTCATACACAATAGTAAGACTATTGTTTTGTGGTGCCATCGGGAGCGGATTGAATAGTCCATGTCAGGTGGAATCAATTTGCTGGGCATGGGTTAAAGACAGTGGTAAGCATAATGATCAAATCTGGCTTGCCAGAAAGTTGTATTGATTGCAGTACATTTTCTTGATTTTTAGCCAAACAAGGCTGACTTTTGACCTTTTTAGACCTTATGAGAAGAACTTAGCTCCTGCTTCATCTTGTATGATTTTCTCCTCATGACCAAAACCAGCTGAATCCAGTTTGAGCTGGATTGTTCTATTCACCATCCATGGTGAATCAGTTGCTAGTGTACTCCGTACTGGGCTGTATCCTCAGTGTGTATGCATTACACACTGCCCCCTCATATGATGATTATTTATAGAAACAGTACCTCACAGGCCAAGACCCAGATTAAAACTACATAAAATCTATTATGTGTTTAAAACTACATAACAAAAAGCCTGCAGTTGGTTATTTTGGTTACATCTTATCAGACTAATGTGTACTCATCAACACTTTGCCATTGCAGTCAATTCCTGATTAAATAGTTATTTCTCTTTTGCATAATGCTCTCGCATATTTTCCTTTCTGTCACTTATTAATTGTCCAAACAACCCATTAGCTCATCTCCATGGCAATAAAAGTCCTTATAACCATGCCTTTTACCACCTCTCACAGCAAACACATTAACTTAAAGACCAGTCAGTTTTACAATTAGACATAACACTGACTGGTTTTGTCAGTGTCTATGCACATATCAGCTGTTAAATTTGCACAGTACCATAATTCGAAATTTAATAAATTCTCTGGTTTCTACTTTCAAGCCATCTAATGAGTCCAAACTAACATTTGGATTCCATCAACAGACATGAACTCCCGCAGAAGAATGAAACTACAGTGGTTGAGTACTGATACTAAATAGGAAATCAATTACTGAAAATATAAAAGCTTTGAAATGAAATAGTTAACCTGATGTGGCTATTGAAAGTAATCAGATTACTTTGTGCACGTAATGCTGCATGTAATGCAGAATGCATCATACTGTATGATAATTTACATATTGTTCTCTCGCTCCCTCAGACACATTCAGAAATGACTCAGATACACATTGAATCACACTTGAGTTCACACACATCTAAAAATCAACAATCAAATCTGTTTCATGTTCAATTCACAAACTCAGTTTTATTTTATTTTTTTTAAAACATTACAAATGGATGACCACTTACTGTTGAAATTACCTGTTAGGAAGTTTATTACCAAGCCCCTAACAGCTTAGGAATTATAAATGATATAGACTTGTAACATTCAAACTTATCAGTGAGCTGGTTAAGATGCTATAGAGTTGTGCTGTACCTAATGGCTCTATCAGTGCAGAGATGAAAAGATGTTGCCAGATATAAATAGAGCAACTGGGTTCGTTTCAGAAGGCTTCCTTGGAGAGGAATAGGAAATTAGGTGCTGGCTGCATACATTACACCAAGAGCTTTGCGTGGGCTTGGTCGTTTTCACTTCACATAAGCATTGTGAGTCACTACTCTCCATTATTATTCACCATAAATCCATCCTACAGAGCTACTACTCAACAAACATAGAGCTGTTATACAACCCATGGCTTGATTCCAGTGCAACATTTTAACAGACTTGTTATTTACCATTCAGTGTAGGTTATTTGTCAAGGAAATTGTGTAGGCCTTACATTATTCACAGGCCTTATTAAATTAGAATTTGTCTGCCTGTGTCTGCCAGATTTACTGCCTTAAACAAATCTCATCCCATGCGCTTAAAATGGACACACAGTACATTATCAAGGTTAACTTGTTATGAAGTCAACACTAATTAGCCATTTTGTCCATGGCTTTTAGTTGTGCTTATTTGCGTTTTTACATGGTGTGTGGTAGAGGGCCAGGGTTACGAAAATGAACTGAATTAAGGAGATGGGGTTTGATGCGTTAATATGACATTTGATGGCACACATCTCAGTCAAAGACCTTGGTTGTCTAATTGGCATAAAATACAGCATGGCAAGCTTATGTGCACAACAAAACTGCCTTAAAATTTAAAACATCTCATTTGCTTTTAGATACTGCATCTTAAGTAAAGAAATTAAACTGTTATAGCACCAGTCTGCAATTGATGTACAGCCCAAACGTCACATGGTACACATTCCAACTGCTGCTTAGTTGAATCCACATGGTCCACACTCAAATAGAGACAGTGTGTGCTCTTGTACATGGGCACAGTTGGAAATCATGGCAGCTGCACCATGGTAAAACATGCCTTAGGGTAGACATGAAGGTTTGTGCTGTTAACGAGGCTGTATTATGGAATATATCAGTTGTCTAGACTTGGGGGTGTTTTTCGCAGTCATAGGATCATAGAAGTGTAGGTGAGTCATGAATCCGGTTCTCATTGCTGTTTCACCAATTTTGACATGATCACATGATGATGTTGGATCATTTAAAGCAACATTATGCAAGAATTGGTATTTTTTGTGGTTTAGCGCCCCTGCTGTTTTAAAATTCACTTATACCTCTGTCATGAATATGAACAGCTGGGCATTTATTATGATCACATTACATTAAGCAAGTGCAACAACACAAGACAAAGCAAGCCAGCTATTATTACCTATAGTCCAACAGCAAGAGCCCCAGCTCGGCTGCTGGATTTTTATTTTGCGGTGCTCTCGCTAACGACTAAAAACCGGTCCAGGATTTACTCTTATCTGGCGTCTTGCTCGATCACTCTCTCTTTTTCTCTTCTTAGCTTCTTCTATCAATGACCAGTCCGCACCAAGCTGGGTCCCCCCTGCCCCCAGGCATGTAAACCAACTACTACTTACTACTACTTACTAACTGGCGGTAGCTATAGTTAGCCACATTGTTATCATCTGTCCATCAGGAAACTCTGTAAATCACAGGGAGTTAAGGCAGAGCAGCCAGTGGACATCGTTTTTGTAACTCTTAAATATATAACGGTACAGCATCAAAATTCTAGTTAATGGTTGGGCTGTAGTTTATTTACTGCGATATACTGGGACCGCCACAGCAAAATCTTTGCCCCCACAGCAGAAAAAAAACCCACAAACGTAAACAAAACATTCCACAATCAATCATCTGATCCACTTCCTCAATAACAACACATTTGTCACTCTACCTGATCCCTACCCCCAAGGAGATAAAGAGGGAAAAAGGTGATGCCTGGACGCGGGCGATAGAGGTGACATGACCCAGGACCAGATTATCATAGTTAATAAAAATACAGCGTAGTAAGGATACAGCCATTTAATATACTTTTATAACACAGACCTACCAATGAGCATTTAACTCACGCTGGACCCGTTCATATGAGTCATGAAGAATGAAGAATCCAGTCTGCTGCATAGTTCATACACTTTACAGCTAAACCAGAGAATTGTAGGAATTGTACATTGGGCTGAGAAGGTTTTTGTATTTCACGCTCTCTCTTTTTCTCTCTGTATGTTTAAATACTTTTATTATATTTTAACATTATTAAATTAAAACTCCATATTTTTAGAACAAGCTCTAGTTGCCAGATCTATTGTATAACCAAAACACACACCCTATTGTACAAATTGCCCACAAGTGTCACTCACTGTACACCGACAGTAATAGCAGCTACCAGAAAAACTCTCTCCAGGGATCTGTGTAACCCTAATGTCTGTTACTTGGATTCAGTGGGACATTTGAAAGACTTCTTCTAAAACGCCTCAAGGTTTTTTGTGTGCACTAGAACTTTTTGTTTGTCAGCTGTTTTTAAAATAGCTGGTATATAATAAATATGGTATATAATAAAATAATGGAGAATGACCCATGGAAAATCTGTGTTTCTGGTCTAGTCTGGCTATGTGCTACTTTTTAGCTATTTGTTAATTAAAGAGGCACTGGTATCTGATGTGAAGATACCCAGGAGACAATGGTAATGCTCTCATAGTGCATGGTCACTGTCAAACTTTTCATGGCCAATCTTCTAACAATATCTGATAGCAGTTGAGAGGGGTCTTTTATTAAAGATAAGCACTTTCACAGTGGATTTAATGATCTTTTTTTCTGTACTAGTGTTATAAAGCTTGTGTGGTCATAGTTTTCCCAAGACACTTCACTAGACTATATCAGTCTCACAAAAAGGGTGATGTGGCAAATTTACTATTCGTCATCTAAAAGGCAGCCATTAGGAAGTGCCTACTGGGAGTAGCATTAAAGGGATTTGTAAAACACAACCCCAATAGAAATGAGTTTTGTCTACAAAGGTATACTGTGAGAACCTGGAGGCCAGAATAAAACCACAACCAGCTGAAAGAATCTTCTTAAAAGAAAATATAAGGGAAGCAGTTATCCTCTCTTGATTGTAGAGGGCTTCTGTTGGAAGTTTTTGTTCTTCCTAGCAGTGACTCTCCGCTGAGGCTCTGGCCAGGAGGCCTAAGTCATCTTGCCTGACCAGCACAGATGTTCCACTTTCCTCTTAATGAGGAGCCTCAGCAGGGAGTGCCAAACCTGATAGAAGAGCAACCTGAAAATGGGAGAGTTAGGGTAGAGGTTGGGGTGAGGGTTAC